CTTCTCCCAGGGAAGAAAGTACCCGAGTCTTATCTGACCAGCTTGGTCGGGGGAGGCGGGGTCCGAGGCAGAGAACCCAGCATGGCAGGCAGGAGGGAGGTTTCCAGAGCTCACAGCTTCCCAGGGCTGCCACCCTGTGGTCTAACAGTGGCCACTCCTGCCTCCAGGCCACAGACAGCCGCTGCAGCCAGAGCCCTCTCAGCCCAGGTTTGTGGAGCCCCAGGGTGGGCTCATAACGGGTACAAGACAGATGTGAAGGCTCTCGTGGTAGGTTTCTGAGATGACCAATGCCACCGTGTCCCCTTCTCCGTCACACACTTTCCTTCTATCCATTTAGGATTCCCCGGGAAAGGATGGTGAGGTGGTGGCTCTTCTCCGTCGCCCTGTCTACTTTCCAAGAAATTTTTCTCTAATCCACTCTTCCCCTCACAGCATTCCCCAGAAATGATTCTGCATTTTCTGATCTCAGCTGACCCAGCTTGTTTGGAAACTAAAGCTATTCCCACCTGAAGGTTGCTAACAAATATTATGCATATTCCTGTCTTTAGGCTGATATCTGTATGACGTTATGAACTAAACATCTAGGATTGATGTTAGCTCTTTGTTGGCCAGAAGCTATAACATCTCTACCAACAAGAAACTAATACGGGCTGGATTACAACCAGCATGAGAAAAATTACTTAAAGATAAGAAAATAAATGAAACCCCACCAAGATTCTAAGCACATAGGCAGCAGTCAGATATGTGCTGAGGAGATGAATAAACATAATTGTATAAGGCTTTAAAGATGATGACAGGTCTCATTAAAAAAAAAAATCTTAGGCTTTTGTATTTCACCATGCCTTATATTTTTGTTTTGTTTTATAATTTGGAGTGGGAAGATCACCATGTGATTAATGTATTTTTAATTTGCCTGTTGGGGATGTTTTAATACCAACATCTCTCTCACTACCCTTTCATGGTATCTTAGACTAATGCCAGTGAAATGGGTAGGGTAGGATACAGAATAAACAACAGTATGACCAGAGAAAGAATCTTTGGCACTGTGGCCTGAGGTCTTTATTGCACACTATACAGTCCCCCTCTGACTAGTTTGAGCAGGAACAATATATTGCAGAAACTTGGTAGTTCACAAATCACCAGACGGAATGAAGGAACACAGTCTAAGCCATACTTCTAGCTCCTCAAGATAAGCACCAGCCTCGTGCCCTATTCAACCCTCTACATTATTCATTTCCAAATCAAAGTCCTGCCTGAGTCCAGCTGGTTAGCAGAACATAAATACATCCTCCATCTGCTAAAGGCCTGGGAAATGTAGTTTGTCTTTTCAGCCACGGCAGTAGAGAAGGCACATGGGGCTGGAGGAGGCTTGTGCCGGGTCCTCACTGTCTTAGTCTGTATAGCTTGTAGACCACAGAAATGTGTTCCACCCAGTTCTGGAAGCCAGGAAATCCAAGATCAAAGTGTTAGTACAATGGGTGTTTGCTGAAGGTTGTTCTGTGGCTGATAGATTGCAACCTCACTTGGTGGAAAGAGTGAGGAAGCTCTCCGGGACTCTTACATGCAGAGATTAGTCCCATCCATGAGGGCTTTGACTCCCGACCCAATCATCTCCCCAAAGCTGTCACCTCCAAATACCATCACCTTGAGGATGAGGAGCCCAATGCATGAATGTGGAGAAGATGCAAGCATGCAGACCCCTGAATTACAGAGCCACAAGAGGGGCAGTGCTGTGAGCACCCCCTAAGCCATGTGTGCACTCATGCTTCAGTCAAAGCTTCTCAAAGTCTGCAGTGTTGCCTAGGCACCTGCTGATGGCCTGGCTCTTCTTGTGAAGAGAGTTTGTGGGCTGGGCCATAGCATTAGCCACACCCTGAAGTAGTAGACATCTGTCATATTTTTTGCTTCCCACCAGCTTTGGAGCAGCTTTTCCATGTTTGGGGAACTTGCACATGAGTCTCACCTCCCAACTACTGAAGTCAGAATTCCAATTTTCAGGTGTCTTTCCAGCTAGGACTCAGGCATGTGATCTGGGCTCTGACAGCCTCTTGAGATTTGATGCAGAATGGCATGAACAATCAGGCAGTACATGGAGCTTCCACTCTGGCCAGCATAGACAGCAGTAGAGGCCTCCTCATTCAAAGGTAGTGCTTCCTGACTCAGAAGTTGGCCCTGGTATGGTGACAGATGTGGCTGCAGTGAGCTCAAATTCCTGACATCTAGTGCTCTGTAGCAACAGATGTAGTGGTCTGAGTTCCCTCCTTGAGCTGCTGCTACAACCCAGTTGGAGGCATTGTTCCTGGAAACTACCTCAAATCTATTTCCCAGCCCTTCCAATGATTGCTTACTCTTCAGTATCTTTTAACAAATTCTATCAGCTTTCCATAGAAGGCTGCAGTGTGAACTACGCCTGCACAGAGAGGTGGCCTGGACCTTGTCCCCCATGTCTTTCCTGAGCAGGTGTGAAGAAGCATAAAAGGAAAGTGCCCTTCCCTCTCACTCCCACATCCCAGGAGCTCCTCCAGAACAAGAATGCTCTTCTTCATTGAATTTTTATCACCAACTATTTGTGCAGGGCTTAGCATTGAGAAGGAATTCATTGAGTAGAAATGTTGGATGGATGAATGGATGGATGGATTGATGGATGGATGATCAGCTACACTATAAAGTTATACCCAGCTGGATCCATAATCCAGAACTTTGCTCTCCATTCACAGAAATCACTGACTGCACATAGCTACTAAGTCCTTGAAATGTGGCTGGGACAGTTGAGATATTGAGTTCTTATTTCATTATGTTTCAATGAACGAAATATATTTGGGTTTTTTTGGTTGGGGGGGCCAAATCACTTTATTGAGGGGCTTAGAGGTGGGGAGAAGGAGGTGAAAATACACTGAAGACAATGAGATCTGACGTCCTTGGTAGGGCTGGACCTCTCCCATTCCTCCATCACCAAAAGGGAACTAAATATATTTGAATGAATTTAAATTTTAACTTGAACTCTTAACTGATTCCTAATTTCATTTTTTTAAACTTTTCGCTTGGCCAGGAGTGGTAATGCATGCCTGTAATACCAGCACTTGGGAGGCTAAGACAGGAGAATCATCGCAAGTTCAAGGCCAGCCTAGACTACATAGCAAGACCCTGTCTCAAAAAAACAAAACAAAAAAAAGCTTTTAGCTTCTTTAACTTGTCCATGCAAATGTAGCTTTTCAGCTGAAAATTTTATGAAAGTTAAATATAGATCAAATATTTCCAGTGAAAAGTCAGCATATGTGCTATCGTCCCATGACTGTGACAAAATACTTGTGATAAACAACTTGTAAAGAGGAAAGGTTTACGTCGGATCTTGGTCTCAGCCTATATATATAGGTCTATATATATAGGTCTCAGCCTATAGTTGCCCAGCCCTGCTGCTTTGGGTCTGTTGTGGCACGGTACATCTTGATGGAAAGAGGTCTGCTTACCTCACGGTGCCAGGAAGCAGAAAGAGAGGTCCCAGGACCAGGGACCCAACACCTCTTTCATGGGCACTGGTTCCTCCCACCACCCCCAGTAGCACTGCACAATGGGAACCAGGTCCTGGCCTTGGGGGACAGTTCAGATCCAAATCATAACAATGTACAGATTAGGATGTGCTGTAATTGTAAAGTAGATGCCGGGTGCCAGATATTTAAGATGAAAAATAATTTGAAACATGGCATTCATTTTCTAATGATTATATGTGGAAGTGATAATATTCCGGGTACATTTGGTTAAACAAAGTACATTATTTAAATGGCTATCACCTATTCCTCTTTACGTTTGTGAATGTGACTACTAGAAAACATAAAATGACATTATGTGGCTTTTATTGTATTTCTGTAGGACAGTGCAGATCTGGACATTAGCATGAACCTTGTCCCTGAGCAGTCAGAGGGACACTGAGGACATTCCTCCCCCATTACAGACCAGGTCCTCCTACCTGCTCATCTTCTCCACTTCAGACTTTAGACCTGGGCCTCTATGGCATGCATGCATGAGAGTGAAAATCATGGATTTTTGGGGGGACCAGGCAGAGAACCAATCAGGGAAGGGCTAGAGGTAAAGCCATAGCAGTGATCAATTGTTCTATCCAGAGACAATCCCCAGCGGAAAACCCCATGTAACTGTCCCTTGATCACCAGTATGCCACCTGTAGACTCAAAGGAGCCCTTGCCAAACCTCTCCTATGATCGCTTCATTCAAGGGTGAAGAGATTGAAGTTCAGAAGGAAGAGGGCTCTCCTGACCAGCCCAAGAGCCAGGGCTAAACACAAAACCTCTTGATGCCCACTTTAGATGCCAATCCACGTGCTCACTGGGTTTGATTTGAGAAAGGAAGGGCCCCCTACAGGAGTGGTACAACCTGCCCCTACCCCAGGATTCCCAAGCCTCCCTTTGCCCACCCTGGGAACTCAGGCTGAGAAACTGGGGTGGTGGGGCCAGAAGCATTCCATTCCATCTCAGGAGCCCCGTGGCTTCTATTCAGCACCCCTGGAGACCTGAAACCCTTAAAATGGTTTGTTCTGGGGTAGGAAAGAACACAAAGATCCCTCTGGCCTGAGACGGAGGAGAGCCATGGGACACCATGGTGGTCTGCGGGGAGCCAGGTGTTCTTCACAGTCCAAGTCTGAGCTGAGTGATGGGGAGAAGGCTAGGGCACCAACCTGGGGTGACAGGACCAAGAGGAAGGTGGGAGAAGATGAGTGGGGCCAGAGGAAAAGGTAGGGGACAGAAGGGCCAGACTTTCAAGGTTTGCTCCTAAGAAACAGGGAAATAACCTGTCCAATTTACCCCACCGGACAGTTTTCATACTGGAAATACCAGCCCCAAAAGGCTTCCCTCCAATCCATCCCCACAGGTATAATTCCACCACATCAAAGCAATCATACCCACATCCAAACCTACCAATCCGAGCAAAACACAGTAACAAAGAAAGGCAATTTTCATATTTTCCTATACAATATTGTACATCATAAAAACGCATTCATACTTTTATTAAATATAGAAGCAAACTCTTAGGGTTACCAGAGATATTGCCTGCCCTTGAACAAATCATGAATAACTGTTTTCAAGCAGAAGCATCGCTAGGCCGAGTGGGGCCCTTTGTTCTCTGCAATGCCCATCTTTTGCATACCGTGTCTTACACACATGGTAGTATTTGTTATCTATTAGTCCCGTTCCTTTATTTCCTGGCCCCAAACTGGATCTCGATCCATGGGGAGAATGTGCCCATTCGGTCATTGCTAGGGTAGCGCAGGCTCTCTCGAGAGCCTTTGATATATCACGTAAGTTTGGAGACACTCGCCCCGGGGGAAACGACTGAAGATTTCAGATAGAGAAAGCAACTCGCAAGGACAGGGTGAGGTAACTAGGTTGAGACGAAAAGATACTGAGGTACTGGGTAACAGAATGACATGTGGATTCTGGGATGGAGAAGTCACAGGGAAGAGAGGCAGCAAAATGAAGTCAGAGGCTTAAAACTCACACAGATGGAGGCGAAGGGATATAAAGGTTGAGCCTGAGGTTTCTGCTCGGCTTTAATGCCTGATGATAGAGATGACGGCGAAGAGAGGAAGACAAGGCAAGTGCACAGGGAGACAGAGGGAGGTAGAGGAGGCGGTGAGCAGCAGGGATGTCCAGCCTGATTCTCCCTCCTCTGGCCAGAGGGCTAAGCTCCTTAACCCCCCACCCCCTTCTGACTGGCCCCACCTAAGGCTCTCCCCCTCCATCTGCCTGGGGCCTTCTCTTTGCTCCAGCCCACACAGCTCTCTCCCTTCCCAACTCCTCCTGCAGAGTACAGCTCAGGCCCCTGCTGTCTTAGAATCTGCACTGAGTGCTCATCGAAGCACTTTGACTCTCCAAAAGAGCACTGAGGCTATTCCGGGCTCCAGGCCCCACCTCAAATACTCCAGTGTCCCCTTGGAGTGTTAGGACTTACCAAGTGCTCCGTGAATGCTTGTGGACCAGTTGCCCAGGATTGCCCAGGGGGGCTACCTGGCAGTCCATTGTCTATAAAAATAGGTGCCGGGAAGCTGGCCAAGCTGTGGTCATCTCCTGTGCTCCTCCGCCCCCTGCTGGCCAGGAGAGAACCTGCATGCAGGACAAAGTGGCCCTGATGGAGGTGGCTCACAGGTAGCCCTGGCATGGTTAGCAGGTTTTGCTACCGTGTTTTTCCCAGGCCACCCATCCTGGTGGGTGGTCAGAGCTTCTCATCCAGTTCCAGTTCCTGGTTCTCCCGGGAAGGACTGTGGGCCACAGCCGGGCTGCTGCGGGGCATCATGTTCAGGTAGCTCTGGATGACGGAGGCACAGTCCAGCCGCTCCATGGAGGTCATGAGGCTGTGCAGCTCCTGCAGGCTGCCATTCTGCTCCTCAAAGAGCTCCAGGATGGCTGCAGCAGGGCTGCGCTGACACGACAGGAACCTGGGTGGAGACAGAGGCGCTAGCAGTTTGGGGGTCCCCTCTTCTCCAGGCTCAGTGGGTGACTTTGGTCTGGCCAGATGCTCCAAGACTTTGAATCCAGGCACTGTCCTGACTTAGAGACTCACTCCCTGGGCCTGGTCTCTCTAGACCTCAGTTTCCTTTGGGAAGGAGAGGACCTGTAAGCTTGCTCCTGGCTTGGGGACTTTGTCCTTGTCCTCTGCACCTCCCCCAACCCAAATACCCTCCAGCCTCACCCAGCCCTCTCCACTGGTCCTTTTCTGTCCCTCACTGCATACGCCACACCCACGGCCACCTCTGCGGCTCCCCCAAGACAGAAAGGCTTCATTCCTCTTCCCATCACAACCTCCATAAAGCCTTTCTCATCCCTTGCTCCTAGGAGAAGGCTGCACTGCACCGTCTGCTCCTAGCTCAGCTCTCCTTGCTTCAGCTCCTTTGTGCCTCTCTTTCCAATGTGGGTGCAATGCTGGATATGCACAAGAAGGCACAAGGAACACTCGCCTCAACTTTTAAGCTCTCTGAACCCTCAATGCATAGACTGTGAGCTCCTGGGAGCTGGAAATAACCCTCATTCTTCTTGTATCCCAGTGCTCAGCAGAGCCCAGCAGGTACCTGCTGGATGCTTAAATAAAGGGCGGGTTTCTAAATCCACCCTGAGTCCAAGGTCCAGCCCTAGACCTTTGCATGGGTGAAGTCTTCCCTGACCACCACACTCAGCCTGGGAGCAATCTCAGAATTATTCTCCTAGGATTTCTTTGTGAGTTCCTTGGCAGGGACCATAGATAACAATGGTCTGCTAACATTTATTGAGTTAACATGTGCCAGGCACCCAGAGGCAAGCTTGGCACCCAGAGACAAGCTTTGCACACAGTATCTGTAACCTGCTATTCTGCTCCCCAGGCCACACAAGGCAGGCACTCACTCACTGGTGGCTTTGCCTGGTGACAGAGCCACTGTTAAATACGAATTGTGTACCTACTGTGAGCCCGGCATCGCTCCAGGCCCTGAGAGCATAGGGGTGGATAGGAAGACCAGGAAGACCGGCCCCTGCGGTGAGGAACACAGTAGGAGGAGCCATTCTCCGACTTTAAGTCCTCCCCTCGCCTGTGGCCCCGTGCTCCCCACTTCCGCCTGCAGACTGCCCCATCTTACCGGATTTTCATGCCGCAGAGGCCCAGGTGGGAGGCCAGCCGGCGCCAGTCATTGCCTGAGATGCTGTTTGGCTCTAGCAACATCCGCAGCTGCTCAAAGAGCTCTGGTGGCAGCCTGAGGTGGGGGGAAGGTAGTTCTTGGAGGACCCAAGTCTGTGTCTCTCACACATACCCCACGTGCTATATTTTCCTGTGGATGCTGGGGCAGGAGCCCAAGCGCCCCTCACCTCACCTGTTGCACAGAGGCAGCTGGGAGACAGGGGGTGGCGTCGCCCAGGACTCCTCCTCTGAAGCCTGGAACCTGAGGATCTCCATGTACTTGGTCTCCAAGCCCTGAGTCAGCAGGAGGCCAGGGAACACATTGGGCGGTCACAAGATGCCCCCTTAAGAAACTAGGGGCCACCTCCATTCCTGTGTTTCTTTCAGCCGGTCACCCCAAGATGCTTTACCAGGAGATAAAACCTGACCTCTCTACCTCTCCTTCCCAGACCCCAGACCCCCACATTCTGTCCAGGTTTGCCCACTTTCAGAACGGGAACATGAGGATGCGTCCTGAGCTACCAGAAGTCCCGGAGGAAGGCACGGGGCACAGGGAGGTCCCCCGAAAACAGAGACACAGCCCTGGGCTTTGGTGCCCATCCCTCCATCCCAGCTTGCTCACCACATGACAGTGCAGGGGTGTCTGCCAGCTCCCACCAAGATGCCACTGTGGCCCCCAGACTCCTCCCTGATTTCCTCCCATCCTCCCCGGAGGCATCAGATGGAGCCTAGGGAGAAGCCCAGTCTTCTGGATGTCCCCGGTGGCCCCTGAGCTGGGAAAGGCCTTAGACTCCAGCTGGGGTCACCCACTGATAGACAAGAGTCGGCCATGGTGGGCAACTTGGAGGCCAGGTGGCCTGCGACCCTCAGAGAGCGGCACGGCTGCCCTGTGGTGGTGCCACTGTGCCCCGCTTGTTTGTGTGATTAGGGCCATCGTCACCAGTGCCACGGCCCTCGCCCGTTTGCCCAGGACTCCCGCAGGCCCTGCCCTTTCCTTGTTCCTCGGCAACAACTCACGTCCTGGAAGGTGTGCATGGTGACAATGATCTCATTGGTCAGGGCCAAGCAGTCCTCGTTCTCATTGGCTACAGTCAGTGAGAGGAGGCAAGACTTGGGGTAAGAGCGCAGAAGTCAAAGGGCCCCACAGAAAGACCGGGGCCAGGACACTCACTCCTCCTTCTCCCCGAGTGGGACACAGAGCACCAGGATGACAGGGAGTAGGAGGAGAGGGGAGGACAGGAGGTGGCCGCCAGGCTCCAGGGCTACCTGCTTTTCTCCGGAAGCAGAAGGAGCGGAAGGGGCACTTCCCATGCCAGATGTGGAGATGGGGAACCAGCTGGCAGCTGCTGTCATCCACATTCTCCCAACCTGGGGCAGGAACAGAGACAGGGTGGAGGGCCTCCCAAGGTGCTGGGGAGGCACGAGGACCCGCAAAGCCTGGGGGTCTGGAGTGGATGGGAACCCCAGACCTGGGCAGCCTGGCTCCTATGCCACATAGCCCTTCCTGCACACAACACAGCCGCTCACCCTCTGCTGCATCCTCCTGCCTGCACTCCATGCCCAGAAGTAGCCTTGCCCCATGTGCCCTGTGCACAGCCACACACACGCTTGCACCCTGTGGGCGATGCCAGGAGCCCGGCCACAGGAAGGGGAGGCCAAGCAGGAGGACTAGGATCGCCTCCCTGTCCAGCCCCCCTCCCTGGCTCCTGCCACCTGCACCTCCCCTCCTCTCAGGATCACCCCGTCCTGGCCGGGCAAGGGCTTCAGTGGACAGCATGGGGAGCAAGAGGCCTTGGATGGCTGGGGCAGAAGCCAGGGGTCTGCTTGAAGCTGCTCCTCTTCCCTGTCCCCAGGCTGGCGCCCCTCACCCTCGGAGATGTACTTGAGTTTCAGGCACTGGTCGCCTCTGGCCCCAGTGAAGTCAAAGAGCTGGCAGGGCCCTCGCAGGCGCCCCCCGTGGGGCTGCTCATTGGTCACGGCCCACTGCAGGGCGCAGGGCGTGTTGTTGAGGAAGTAGACGCGCAGCTGCAGGTGCGTCTGCCCCGGGGCCAGCGGGGAGCAGAACACGGCCAGCTGCAACCACTTGCGGGCAGCCTGGCCCACAGGCGCCTCCAGCACGCAGGTGTAGAGGCTGCAGGGGAGACGGGGCAGAGACCCCAGGACATTACCTCGGACTCCTGTCACCTAGGAGTGCAGGGGCTCTGTGCTGGCCTCCAAGGAGACAAGAGCACTCGGGGGGGGGGGGGCGCTTGGGGTCCTGGCCAGGGGCGGGCAGCTAGGAGTGGAGAAGGGAGTGTGTCAGAAGGCCACCACCAGGCAGAGAGGAGAGCCAGCGAGGACTGTCGGGCAGAGAGACAGAGGTGGGAAGGGGACAGACAGCTCCAGATGGATAGAGGGACAGCAGTGGGGTGCACAGCCCTAGGCAGCCGCCATGGACATCAGGACAGAGGACGCAGAGAGGGACCCAGGGGGACCAGGGACCTGCAGACCCAGATGAAGGCCCGTTCTGTGCGGAGATGAGGGCGAGGTGGTACTGTGGACCAGGGAAGGGGGATCTGGGTGCAGGCCTACCTGAAGTGGGAAAGCTGGATGCGACACTCGTCCAGGAAGGTGTGGGCCCCCGGCCGGCCCAGGGGCCTCCAGGTCTTGGCATCCAGCAGGGGCGTGTTGCTGCTGTAAGTGCACGCGTGGCCTGGCTGCTGGGCGCAGTGCTTGAACGTGAGGCTGCAGGGCTTCAGGAAGGAGGCCCCGTGGGGCCCGCATGCCACCACCGGGCTCACTAGCCCCTGGGCTTGGGACAGTGGAGGGGCATCAGACAGGTCCCACACCAGGATCAAGGACACCCGCTCCTGGCGCCCCACGGCCACAGCACCTGGGGAGGCAGAGAGCTGAGAGGGGCCCAGCAGACAGGCATCCCTCACCCCTGAATGGGGCCAGTCAGATGCAGCATGTAGCTCAGGACAGAGAGCACCTGGCAGAGCACTCAGAGGCCGTGTGCACTGACCTTTGTGCAGTCCTAAGCAAGCCATCACCCCCTCCCTCCCAGGGCCATAGGGTGCCTGGTGTGAATTTGTAAACCTCTCTCTCTCCTTCCGTGAGGTAATTGTCAAGGCACACTGAGTCCTTAGAACAAGCTACTTTACTTCCTCCTGCAGGAAGTTGTCCTATAAGGTACATAACATGTCCATCTTTGGCGTCAACAGTTATACTAGAAACATCAGTAATTTTCAGAGTTACAGAGAGGATGTGTTGGTGCACGCCTGTAATCCCAGCACTCTGGGAGGCTGAGGCAGGAGGATGGCAAGTTCGAGCCCAGCCCGGGCAACTTAGTGACTTTAGTGAGACTCAGCCTCAAAATAAAAACTGAAGAAGGGCTGGGGATGTGGCTCAGTGTGAAAGCCCTAGATGCGGTCCCAGGATGCTCACTCAAATACCGTCCCCGAGGACACGGTCTGAACACTGTGGGCCATTACCTGGCGGGATGACAAGGGAGATGCCCATGTCCTGCAGCAGGAGGCAGCCCCCACGGTGATCCACCTCTCGGGCCAAGAACACCAGCAGCTTGTGCATCAGCTGCCGGGTGACAGTCTGGCCCTGAGTGGGCGTGTGCAGCTCCTGGTAGAAGGCAGCCATCTCCGGCAGTGTAGCAGGCGCACCCTGCCCTGGCACCTCGAATTCTGGTGGCGGGAGGGATGGAGGCACTGGCTCCCCGTGGCTATCTGGCTTCCAGCAGGGCCTGAGCAGCCTCCGGGGACAGTGCCACCGGAGGCACTGAACCAGAAGCAGGGCACTGGCCACAGGGACTCCCACCAGCAGAAGGAACTGGGGTTGTTGGAGGGCAGTCTCCAGGGGGCACATTGTCCTGGCCACTCCAAGCTGCTGAGTGTCCTGCACCTGGGCCAGCCAAGGCCAAGGGCCTAGGGGAAAGAAGGGGTGAGGACCAGGCTAAGCCTTAAGCTGCGGAGACCAACATTGGCTTTCACATAGCTGCAGTGGTTCTCAGGCCAGCAACCTCCAATCAAATCATTCCTTATGGCGCCCTCTCTCTCTCTCTCTCTCTCTCTCTCTCTCTCACACACACACACACACACACACACACACACACACACACCCCTTCCACGGATCCCCGTGATTTAACATAATTCATCAATATAAACTGAGGCAGCAGAGAGAATTTGGCTTTGGAGTTAGAGGATGTGAGTTCAAAACCCTCTTGATCACTGTGGCTATGTAAGCTTGTCATTTTCTTAATGTGCCTCCATTTCTTCAGCTGTCAAAACATCTACTTTGGTCTACAAGAACTGCTATAGCACCATCCATAAGTGAGGGAATAAAAAAACAGACAGAGATAGAAATCTCCTGATCTCATTAATGTAAGAAAAAAGTATAGGCTACGGGTATAGCTCAGTGGTGCAGGGCTGCTTAGCAAGTGAGAGGCCCTGGGTTTAACCCCTAGCACCACAAATAAAAATACAGAATATGCAAGTATAGTATAGGTAGAGATTTATTGGATATATATGTATAGAGGGTACAGAAAAAGGTCTGGCATCGTGGTATGCAATCAAAATATAATACAAGCTAAATATATGATTTAAATTTCCTTAGGGGCCACGTTAAAAAATAAAAGCAACAGGGGAATTAATAATGTTTGTATTTAACCCAACAGATCCCAAATGCTATTTCAGCAGGCAATCCTTATAAACGTATTAATTTGATGTTTTCCATTCTCTTGTCACGCCAAGCCGTTCTCCTCCGTGTGTATTCCACTTACATGTATGACGCATCTTGACTGGGACTTGCTATGTGTCAAGTGCCATGTGTTTTAGCAACTCCTGTCTTACTCCGGGCTGGTTGGGAACCATCCACACCCAAACTGTCCCATTGTGATCAAGTCACAATTAAAAGGCTGAGAGGATGGAAGGCATAAACAAGGACTTTGACTTTTCTTAAACTTTTTCTTTTATAGTCCATGAATTTCTCACACCAAGAACGTATTTCATAAAAACTTTGTTATTCTTTTTTTTTTTTTTTTTTGGTACTGGGGATTGAACTCGGGACCTTGCGCTTGTGAAGCAGGTGGTGGAACCACTGAGCTAAATCCCCGGTCCTATCATTCTTTTTCAAAGTTATTAAAAGTGGAGGAAAAAACTGCCTCTCTGGAGACTGGTGAGATGGGGGACCCTTAAGGATAAAATGTGTCCAAATGTGTTTATTTACACCCCTCCTTCTCTGGGACACACAATCCAACATGAACAACAAAAGTTGAAAGTGGAAGCAATAAAAGAAAGAAAAACAAAGGTGAGGGCCCTGGGGAGTGAGGCAGGCAAAGGCAGCAGGCCACGGATCACCTGGTTACCTGGCGGGCACACACAGACTTCTTGCAGCAGCACCACTCATCCTAAACCCACTCCCGGCCCCTTTGCCATCCAAGATCCGGGTCCGTTCTAGCCTTGCCTTTCTCTCCTGCCTGCTTTCCGCCTCTCCTCACCTGCCCATCTCCCAGCCACATCTCTCCCCCAGGTGCAGCACTTTGACCAGCTTCCTGGCTGCTCCCTCAGTCTCTGCCCCCCCACCACACCACCCTGGCCAGCTCCTGAGTCCCCTGTCTCCCGGGGCTCCCCAGTCCAGGTACATCCTCCAGGCACCATGGGAAGTTCAGTCCTCCCAAACATGACACCTTAGCTCTCCCGGAGCTGCCCAGGGAATTCACTGGCTGGTGGCTGAGTTCTAGGAGACACTCTGTCCTCCTCCAAGGCCCTGCTGGTGGATTTGCCAGAGGCTGCATGGGACAAGCTCCCAGCATCCTTCCCTCCCCATTCCGTTCTCTCTCACCTGGAACCTGAAGCTGAGGCTCTGCCCATCTTCCTCCCTCAGCCCAAGAAAACTACAACCCTTGCCAGCTCCTTCCAGACATGGGCAGAAGCTCTTTGGTATCCTCAGGATTGAGCACCGCCGCAGAACCTGTTTCCCCTGTGTCCTTGCAGGAAAGGTGCACAGGAAGGGGAGGTTTGCCATTGTTCCTTTTGCCTTAAAATCCAGCCCTACAGCCAGTGTCCCCCCCTCCTCCTGCCAGGCCACCTTCAGGGCATACCAGTGAATCAGGTGGGTTGGCAGTACCCCAACCCCGGGGCAAGGTGGATGGGAGCAGCAAGCTTCCCCTTGTGTCCCATTTGTTCCTTAGGGTTTTTCCACTTGAGTAACATCGGTGATAATGCTAATAGCTCCAAAGCCTCTGCGTGGTCTACCCCATTTGGTCCTCCAACGTGGGTCCCCTTTAATCTCCCTTTCACAGATGAGAACACTGAGCTTTCTCTCCTCACTGAGGATGGAGGGGGCATCTGAGCAACCACTACAGCCAGGAAGGATGTACAGGGACAGTGAAGACTTCCAAAGTCCTCCCACCTCTCCCCATCCTCCTTTCTGCCCACATTTCCTCCTCTAAGGGGAATGAATTTGGACGAGAAAGAAACAAACTAAGGAAAAGTAAATGAAGGAACTAAAAGCACCACTTCCGTTCCATGGTGAGTGACGCCCTCCGCCTCCTGCCCACCAGGCCCCATGGCAGGGCACGGCACGGGCAGCTAAAGGGACAGAAAGGAGGGGACCTATTCTGCTTCTATAGCAACCACCTTCCTGGGGCCTCCAAAGACCAGAGTCCAAACCCCTCCACCCTCGGGTGGTGCAGCCGTGTCCCCTTGCCCAGCCGCCTAGGCCCTGGGCCTCTCCTGGGAGCCCATTCATTTAGCTGCCCTGAGCAGGTTAACTCCCCCCCGGCTCAGCCCGGGAGGCTGAGTGCCAGCTCTTCCGGGCTACCCCAGCACTCACTCCATTCTCCCCGCCCAGGAGAGGAAGGGGTTGTCAGGTGCAGAGTGGAGTCTACAGCATGGCAGCCCCATATGTAAGGACTGGACCTCCCCACTCCATGCCTAGCGCCTGATCGCCCATTCATTGCTTGTCCTGACCATGCCCCGGGGTCATCCTGGGTAGCAATTCCTCAAGAGGAGCCCTTTAGCAGGCCACCGCCAGCTATCCCTGGGCAGCTCCTCCTCCAGCAGAAAGATCCAGATGCCTGCTGTAAAGCCCTGCTCACCCCGTTCACCCTCCCCCATCTCACTGTCCTTGCGGGTGTTCCCCAATACCTTCTAGATCCCCAGGTATCACTGCAGGCCTCGGAAAGTCCTGGGAAGGATGCGTCCACACTGAGTCACAGCGCCCACTAGCACGGCACGCGTGTCCACACCACAGTCATCTTGGTCCTCACACCCATCAGCTCTGAAGTCCCCTTTTCCTCCCCTCCTCCCGCAGAGGGTCCCCACACGGCGGCAGAGCCCCATGTGACCCCATAGCAGTGCCAGCCTCTAGCCTGCCCGGCGCCGCTCACCTTCTGTCTAATGCTCCCAGGGGGCGCTGGCTTGTGCAGGACCCGCAGTTCCTTCTTCCAGAAACAGGTCGTCCAGACCCAGTGGCCAAGCCAGCCCGCAGGTGGCAGTGGGTGGGGACTCCAGGTGGGAGAGGCCTGACGCTTTCCGGCAGAGTCCTGCCTCCAAGCCACCCTAAACAGGGGTGGAGGCGAGTGTCCCTGTCTGCTGGCAAAGTCCAGCTGGGTAGGGGAGTAGCTGAGGACCTCAGAAGGCAATGAACGTATCAGCGTGGAGCTGCAAGGGAAGAAGGAGGGAGGGAGATAGCTTGTGTCAGCGCGGCACCTTGACACCCTCCCTGCAGCGCCCCTGCTGGTGAGCAGCGGTTCCCCAGCCAGTCCATTCAAATAGAGGTAAAAGGAGGGATCCTTAGCCAGAGCCTCTCAAACCTCATGCATGCAACATGCACAGGAGTCCCCTGGGGGTCTTGTTAAAAAGCAGGTTCTTTTTCTGCAGGTGTGGGGCAGCACCTGGTGACTCACTGCTGCCGGTCTGGGAGCTAAGACAGCACAGAGTTCCAGCCCTTCCTGCACAGGAAGACGTGCAGACATCAGATACAGGTAGCATCTGGCCCCCACACGCTGCCCTTTCCATTCCCCTCACTCAGAGTAGTGTGGACACTGCCTCTTGCAGCGAGAGCTGAACTTGGGGCCCGTGTGCCAGCCTGGGCCCTTAGTCACTCCACCCAGAGAGATGGCACCAGGAAAATGAAAGTGCCCAGCAGCAAGGGGTTTTGCCCAACTGTCCTCTGCTGTCTCCTCAGCTCCTGGTGCACGCTGATTCACAACAGCTGCTCCAGAAGGACTTGCATCACCCACTCAAAGGGAAGAGGAGGCCAACAACTCAGGGCCATGTTGGCTGCGTGATCTTGGGCAAGCTACTTAACCCCTTTCAGCTTCAATCCCCTTGTCTCACAAGTGCAGTTAACAACATCTACCTTGGCTGGGATAATAGCTGTCATTTATGGAACCAATAAAGGAAAAGTGCCTACCACACAGGACGTGTTATCACCAAGGTGAACTCTGAAGCTCCCAACTACCACTTCCCACCGAGAACAAGCAACTTCTGCTGCTCTTCCCGCTGCTTCGTGCGAGCAAGTGTTTAAATTCTGCATGTGTGTGTGATTGCGTGGTATCTGTCTTTCAGTGCCTAGCTCAACTCACATGTCACACATTGCAGGGCTTCCTTTGGTTTTTTAAGGCTGACTAGTGTTCTATTGTGCGTATGTGACATTTTCTTTATCCATTCATCTGCTGATGGATACTTAGGTGATTCCATATTTTGGCTCTCGTGGATAGTATGCCAATAAACCAGGGAGTGCAGGTATCAGAGGCTTGGGAGAGTTGGAGATAAGGGTGGGGAGAGATTGGCCAATGGGTACAAGATTGGATTAATAGGAGGAATAAGTTCTGTATTCTTTTGCACAGTAAGGTGACGATAGTTAATAATAATGCATTCTGTGTTTCAAAATAGCTAGAAGAAAGGATCTTGAATGCTTTCACCACTAAGACATGGCAAATATTACATGTGATGAATATGTTCAGGACTATGACTTGATTGTTACAAGATGTGTATATCATATGGTGTCCCATAAGTATGTTCAACTGTGTGTTGAGCAAAAACTAAAATACAATTTTAAAAAGATAAGAAGTGGCTTCTTCTGCTTAAGTCCCAGATAATGATTCTCTAGCCTCTTGTCCCTGACTGCAAACCCTCCCCTCTATTCCTCCCCTGGGTGGAGGGGACAAGGTGGGACAGAGTTTCAGGAGATCTGTCAACTGCAGTTCCAAGCCAGTAAGCCCATGCCAAGGGGGAGGCCATGGCCAGGGTCCAACCTCGCAGGTCATGAATTCATTTCCAAAGCTGGCGTTTGCCTCACTTGGGAACAGTCGTAGTGACAGAGAGCCTCTGGAGAAATCTGAAGTCCCTGCCACTTCTGTGGACACAGAGCAGTTCACAGGACACAGAGACCACAGGCAGCAAGAACGCTGTCGCTGGGGGCTGAGCTGCCGTCAGAGGCATGGGTGTCCCAGTGCCAGACTATGGTGCCTCAATTGCCCCATCAAGAGTTCCTCCAAAGACCAGGCATCCGGAAGGACCTAGCAGGGGGAGAGCACTTATCTAGCATGCATGAGGCCCTGGTTTGTTCACCAGCACTGCAAAAAAAACAAATAAATAAGAATGGAGCAGACCCGGGTGAGCCCCCACTGAGTGGAACCTTTGGGGCCATACAAGCCCCAGCCTGCACTCCCAGTACATCACCACCCCTGGCTGCTGAGAACAACAGGCCAGCTGGGAGCCCTGCTCCACTCTCCTCCCTGTCGCTCCCCCTCTGCTGCCCTCCACGAGTCCTAGATCATCAGGCACCGGCCTGGGAGCTGTGCTGCCAGAGGGAGGACATGCAAGGCCACAGGGCCAGATGGGTGACAGGAGAAAGAGGGTGAGGGTGGAGATCCCCAGCACTGGACAGAAAAATAGGAAAATTGAGCCAGAGAGCTAGGAAGGCAGAAGACGGGCAAAGGACAGTGAGGAGCCAAGAAGGAGATGTGGAAAGATGAGCAGGCAAGCAGGGTGGCCAGCCCGGTCCCAGGAGCCTCTGGGACTCGGGTCCCTGACCCTTGACAGAGAAGGATGGATCAGGCACTCACTCCAGAACATTGAAAATAATCAAAATTTTTACCTTCAAGTCCCATCACAGGGAGAAGGTTGAAATACAAAGGGTAATAGAAAAAATACGGTGACTGGTTTTAAAAAGTAGAAAGAGATGTTTACAGTAAAAGACACGTTGCCATTAATCTCCTCCAAAAAAAATACTTGTCCTCACTTTCAGTTCATTTATCACATCGTCCTTGCCACTCTCTGAAGCAGTTCTGGAGTCTTCTTCAGTGTCTTTATGAGGTGTGATCAAAATTACAGTGAATGCTGCTGCCAAGCACCACCAGCAGGAAAGCAGGCTCGTAAAACCGTGATGCTGTGTCCTCATCCGCCTGATTCACCGGATCTGGCAGTGTGCAGGTCTGGCTCTTCCCCAAGGTCAGAACGACCATGAAAGGGAAACATTCTGAATTGGTTGAGGATATCGAGGCAGCCATGACAGTGCAGCTAAAAACGCTCAAGAAAGAGGACTTCCACAATTTCTTCAGAAAGCGGCAAGGACTATGGATAAGGAGTATATTAAGGGGACTAAGCCCAATGTGTCTTTTACTGTAATAAATCCTTTTAAAATTTAACATTGACCACAGTTTTTGATCATACCTTATATCAAGAGCAAATGAAAATGATATGGGCCTTCGGTTGGAGGAGGGTCTATACATTATCCCACATGCAAATGACATGCAAATAAAGCAACATGCAAATAAGCAAGGCAGCTTTCTAATTAAAGGCCAAGTGGATATTTTCTGCAGAACATGGCCACAAGAAATCTAGATGCTCGGTTGCAGCCTGACCCCCCGGAAATGGGGAGGCTTGGGGGAACTGTGTCCCTCACGCTCCAGCAGCAGACACGAGCTAAGGCTCCAGAGAAGATCCCCACAGTGGCGGTTGGCTGTTGTGGATTTGGGCAGGTCAGCCTGGGTGGGCCCGAGACTGCTGCTCTGCTCTAGTGAGATAAGCCTGAGCAGATGGGCAGGCCCGTCCATGACTAGAAAAGGCCTGGGAATCTCTGGCTCCTGCCTTCAGAACATGGGCCTTCCAGGTCGGTCACTGTCAGCTGAGGTAAGACAGTGTCCTTGAGAGGGCTGGCTATGTAACTGCCCAGGTGAGGCTCACTATGGGAGGTTGAAAAGGCGGTGACACCCGGACCTGACCTCAGGGGTCAGATACCTGGAGAGGGAGGGAAGCTCTGAACTCAGAAGCAGTTGCCATAACCGGACAGCTCCCAATGACTGGTGTGGGGGAAATTAGTCTAGGGAAGCCAGAAAATGGGCTGGGTTGGACATGGTTCAGAGGGGTGGGACTGGAGCTGGGCCCAACGTGGCAGGTGGCAGGGAGGACTCAATGACAACCTCCTAAGAGGGGTTCTGGCCAGGAAATAGGGTCACCTTAAAGGTGGAGGCAGACACGGAGACACAGGACGAGGACAAGGGAAGTTTTGTCACCGGCAAGCTCTCTGCCCCCCAGGTTCTGCCCCTTTGAGGCAAATGCAGCCCCAGGGGCCCATGTTTGTGGGCCTGCCTCACCTGGGACCCATCCTCTTCTGGTTGTTCACCCGATATTCAATGACCGACTGGTGCAAGGACTTGAGGACACTGTCCTGGTGCCCACCCTACAAGACCATATTGCTGGTGTGGACAACCGTCTACTCTCTCATGGGGTGAGCACGCGCTCCTCACATACAGCCCTGCATCCACGGGGGTGGAAGCAAGCTTCCCTGTATCCAAGCTCTTCCAAAGGAATGCACCCCATCTTGCCTCTTCAAGGGGGTCCCCAAGACAGCCAAGGGTTCCGCCCAGTGCTCCTTCACCCCTCCATGTCCAGCCCCTCCCACAAGCCCCAGGCCCTCCCTCAGAGGATGCCCACACCAGCTCCTCCACATCCTTACTCCAGCGAGCCTCCTCCCACTGAGTTTCTGCCACCTTCTCTCCCCAGCTACGCCTCCTACCTGGTATGGAAGGACCTAGGAGGGGGCTTTAAGTGGCGTCTGGCCCTGCCCCTTGGCCTCTACGCTGTCCAGCTGCCCATCAGCTGGGCCGTCCTGATGCTCTTCCTGGAGGCCGCCAACCCTGGGCTGGTAAGGCTCCAGGAGCTCAGTGCTGGAGGGAGTGTGGAAGCAGATAACTGAGCAAGATCAGGCCCTGGCGGGGAAGTGGTAGGCGGACTCCTGGGGGCTCCCAGGGTACGCAGAGCCCAAGGACCTGGCCCACAGAGCAGAGGGTTACAGAAAGGTGGAGGAGCCTGGCTGCTGGGCAGCGTGCCAACCCCACCCCTCTGCCTAGGCCCTGCTACACTTGCTTCTGCTCTACGGACTGGTGGTGAGCATGGTGCTGGTCTGGCACCCAGTCAACAAGCTGGCTGCTCTGCTGCTGCTGCCCTACCTGGCCTGGCTCACGGTGACCGCCGTCCTCACCTACCGCCTCTGGAGGGACAGCCTTTGCCCTACGGCCCAGCCTCAGCCCACAGCAGAAAATGGCAGCTGAGGCCACAGGGCACAGGAGTGAGGGAGAAGGCCAAGGTTGGGGGCAGAGCGTGCCAGCCAGCCACGGGGCCAGGCACGGCCAAGGCAGGCAGTCTCCTGGGCCCCTGCTGAGGACCTTCCTTGGAATTCAGAGACATGGGAAGGGGAAATGCTTTTATACTTTGAGAATAAATTGGTGTGGTGTGAAGTGTGCATCTGAGTGTGCGGTATCAGGGTTGCAGAGTGAGGATAGCAGTTTCTGCCCCTGGGTGTGACAGGCACACGGGGATGGAGGTGCAAACCCACGAGGGAGGTAGCACTATCTCGGCTCCCCTCATGCCCTCCCAAACCTGCATGAGAGTTTAGTACTTCCGTTTTTAACCACCAGAAAAACAATATCTTTTTGAAATATCACATAAAAGCTAAAGAGACACATAAAGCAAAAAAAATGATACTAACATCACATGCTAAGATTATATATTCCACATTATACAGTGTATTCATTTACATATCATATTTATAGACTACATGGAACATATAACATGGCTGTACAATACATGTCTCGCTAAGCCTTTATGGGAGTATTACTTATGAGTGTCTTGTATACTCTCTGAATTTTTTCATCAACTAATCACTATTATAAAAAGAAAAGAAAAACATTTAAAAACAAAAGGGACATAGCCTCAGGGAGCTGAGAATTGAATTCTGTAGGAACCTCTTATGGGGTCTTCTCCCTTTTCTAGGCCATCCCAGCAGCCTTTAATCTGTGTCTTCTCCCTCCTCTTCTTTTCTTCTGCTCTTGTTTCCCAGCTCTGGCGGTGGCAAGGAATGGCTGCCCCTGGGCTGTCTCCCCTGGCCTGATACATGCCAGCTGGAAGGCTCGGACACCTTATGTCCAGTGTCTCCACCTGCCGCCTGGTGGGATCAAGGTGACACTTTTTAAAATTCTGTCCAGACCCTCCAGGGATGAGGCCTGGACATCAACATGTTTTATACCCCCAGGGCCTCCTCAGAGGCAGCCAAGGCTGAGAACCACCGCTGAACCGTCTGGAGCCAATGTGAAGCTTTGTAAACTATGCATGTTCCTGGGGCTGTCGAGACCGATGCATCAGAACTTTGGGAGTGGGCTCCTGGCATCTTCAGATCTTAAAAGCTTCCCAGCACTTCTGTGAGCTGCTCCATGAAATTCAAGTGCTCCAGGCATGGCTCATTTCTACAGGTCCATTTAGCATTGACAGTCGCCAGTCCAGTGAGCTGAGTTTGGGGGCTGAAACAAACTGCATCGTCTCAGGTGGGGACCAGAGGCCTTGCAGGAGAAGCCAGCAGGACCACATCCTTTGGGAATGGGTCCTTCCAGAGCTCACCCAGCTAGAGGGAACTGCAGCTTCCCTTCCTACACCACGGGCACGTTCCAGCCAGCAGTGTGGGTCATGTGAGCCCTAGAAGAGCAAACCCAGGGTCCTACCCACCTTTGTGTCTGCAGCCTCAGGGTAGGGCAGGGGACAGAGCAGAGACTCACACACTTTTGATTGACCTCATGACCGAATAAATGAACACATTGTCATACTTTTAAAAATAATGCCACCACTTCCACTCCCACCCCTACTCTGGACCACCTTAATAGTTTCAGAAATTTCTCCTAGTTCTGAACTGCATCCCAGGGCATTTGCTGGAGCATGGACTCCAGGCCAGCTGCAGACCAGAGGTCAGATCCTCTTGGGGACTGAGGACAAATAAGGGTGCTGTGGTTTGCAGTTCTGACCCTGGAGTCAGACCAACCTGGGATCAGAAACTGACTCTGTCATTCATTAACTGGTAACCTACCTTGTGGTTCCGTTTTTTTCTCTCCTCTGCAAAATGAGGACCTCACAGATTTATGGGAAAGAGATAACAGGGGAAAAAGATGTCTGCCACAGACAAAGTGCTCAGTAAATGTTCTAGGATGGGAACCCAGGAAGCCACCTGTTAAACAAGCACCCACCCCGCTCCGGGCCCTGGCAGCACTTCCGAAACTTCCTTCCAGCCAGGAGCACTCTCCACCACTTCCACCCAGGACTGTGGGCCAGCCTGACCACCGTCACACTCACACAAGGGCTGGCTCTCTGTCTTGCACATTCCTGTGGATTCTGTCTCCATCTGAAATTTGTAAAAGCTGCTTTTAGTGCTGGGGATGTAGCTGAGTGGCAAAGCACTTGCCTAGCATGGGTGAGGCCCTGGGTCCAAGCCCAAGCACCACACACACACACACACACACACACACACACACCTTATCTTTAGCTTCCCTTATAACTCCATTTATACGTGCAACTGTTCTAAATGTATCAGTGTTACCTATCACAGTGTGAACTGTTTTGCAAACCCAAGTCAAACTAACTCCATTTCACAGCAGCCCCTGTTTAGCTGTCAGGTGCAGCTGCAGTACAACACAGTCAGCCCCCCTGCAGCCAGACAGAGCTTGCTGATATGGTGGAAATTTCCTGATAAGGATAGGATGGGAGCAGAGTACACACTGCTTTTCCCAGGGACCCCTCTGGCTTTTGATTGGCATTTGCTATTTTAAGCAGTGTCCTCTAAACCCTGAAGTCCAGTGCAGGGGCTTGGTGACTTCAGCAGTGCTGCAGCCCACATGTCATCTGGGGCCCTCTACTTGGGCCCTCATAAACTCACTCGCCAAGCTGGACTTGTCCGAGTTGCTCTTTGGATGGCTGGGCCCCCTCGGTTCAGAGACAGGCATTTCTTTTACGTCTCTAAAGGAAATGTATACAACACCAACAAATACAGATGGCAGAAGATGCGCTTGAGAGTCACACTCCTTAGGTCCTTATCTCAAGTCCCTGCCCACAGGTGGTCACCCAAGAAGTGCTCGACATTAGTTTGCCACCATCTCCTATAGGCATTATAACATCGATGCTACCGATTTTAATCATGTCACCAGCTACCTCCGGAAGTTAGGCTGACCCTCTAAGAAGACCCACCATGTGTATGGCATGACTCTTACCACCTCAGGGCAAGTGGAACCCACAAACCCCAGGTCTGGAGGCCTCTAGCTTTTGGACATGTGGCTGGAGAAGGAAGTTAATCTGAGCAAAGTCCTTATTAGCCCTGGGTGCCATGACAGCCTAACACAGTGTGAGCCAAACCAAAGAGCTTCTTGCCCTTGTACAGATACCCAGCCTGAATGGCCAGAACCCCCCAGTTCTTATCCTCTATCCCCAAAATTGTCCTTAAAAAAAAGCCCCATTTACACCAACTCTTTGGGTGCTGGTCCAATTTCCACCAATTTCTGCAGATTGGAGACACGGCGAGGGAGCCCCCCGAGAGGTGTATGTCCAGTGGACAGAGGTTGGTCCCCTGGACTGGAGTGCAAAGTGCAGGAAGTGTTTTTTCTGTGTCCCTCTCTTCTTCCTACATCCAGGCTGATGGAGCCAATGCCCCAGAAGCCCCAAACAGCCACCTCCATATGGGAAGCTTCAAAATCTTGTCTTCCTTTTTGCTGGTTACCATCCCCTTTATCTTCCAGCTCCCTGCACCCTGAGCACAATTTCAGAGCCTTCCTAGAGTTCTCCTTTCTCATAATTCCAGAAAAGAAGCATAAGACCCTTCTGTTTTAGGGATCTCATTGCTGATCTTTATTCGAGGCCCACAGGTTACTGGGTCCAAAGCCTCACTTGGCTGGAAACTCCCTCAGATCTCAGTGTTCCTCTTGTCCTCAGGTAGAGCTCACCAAAACGATTCCCTCCCTCCCCGGCCCTGCTCCCTGACAGCATCCGGACAGTGGCCCCTCTTCAGCACACAAGCCTGGGGAATCCTTCTTGACCACAGTGGGGTCTCCACCATGGCTGTTCGGTGCCTGACTCTGTATCCACTGCCTGGATCCCTGAGGTCTCTGAGCCCACATAGAAATTATCTGCACAGAGGGGCACCAGAGAAGCCCCTGTCCCTTCCACCCACACCCACCCCAACACTTTCCCATCTTCAGGGCTCAAATCCTTCCTCAAAACTTGATGTCTCCTGCACAGCTCTCTCCCAGCAGGTTGCCCGGCCTTGACACATGCCTTCAAAAGACGAATAACGCTGTTAGTCACCCTAATGAACACCGCGCTTATCAGATCAGTTTCTTCAAAGACTCGAGTCAGGCAAAGCCAAAGGGGAACCTGGCAATGCTGGGAGTGGCTGCTGGCAGGGAGGGCCGTGGTGACCAGGACTGAAGTCCTGAGTGTCACCAGGGCAGTGTGTCCTGTGGAGAAGGCTGAAACCCCCGCCTGCCTCCTCGATCCCAGCTCAGACTCTTGGAGACCCTTGGCTTCCGCCCCACTCCCCGGCAAAGCCCATGCTGCTCAAAGCCAGGACACTCATGTTTATGTCAACAGAGCGGTTGCCACAGCCGGCAGGCTCCTGCCCGCAGCCTGTTGTTTGTGTACCTGGTCTCGGTAGTGACCACAGGGGCAGGCACACCCAGGCTGGGTCTCTGGGGCAACGCGCTGTTGGGGGTCCCAGCTGTCCCTGCACATAAAGCACCCATTCCCTCAGCACACCTCCAAGGTGTCTTCTTACACACGGTGAGGATTTAAACTTTCCCCTGGTGAGGCTCCTAGTTTCCACCAGCCCCGTCCTGGCCACTGCTCCCTTCCCAGCAAGGGCAGCTCCACATTTGGCCAAGACCCAGGGAACGGCTATGCCTGACCCTGTCTCTGCCTTCCCAGCCATGAGGAGAACCCCTGAATGTCTTCAGAAGTGACCACAGGGAGTGGTAGGTTGCTGCTTACCCTGGACCTAACCCTGCTTCTGCCAGCCACTGGCAGAAGTAAGCAGCACCCACAGAAAAGTCCCTTGGGGCTTCTGGCCCCAAGAAACTGAGCTGTGGTATCTGCCTGTAGCCCTCAATATCAAATACTTCCGAGCCTGCTCGCCCTGCAAAAACTCCTTCCAAGCCCCGCAGCTCCCCACAACATCTCCTGCCCTCCTCTTCTCTAGGCGCCTGGGGCAGGAGGGATGGAACAGTGAAGGGTTAAGAGGGTGAATCTGAAAACAAAGAGCTCTGCCTCAGGAGCCACTTCCCCTCTGGGCCTCGATTTCCCCACCAGGGACACAGGCATCATAGTACGAAGTATCTACCCAAACACCCTTGTGAGGAGTAAAGGAATTCCTCTACAAGTGCCTAGAATGACAGGATGCTGGCAGCCCAGGCTGTGCTGATGCCGGCCCTGCATGTTGCTGAATTCTGGGCAGCATAAGGCAGCAGCAAAAGCCTAGCACTTGGAGGCTAAGTGGCTGGGTTCAAATCTCAGTGCCCTGCTAACTCAGTGGAGCCTTGAATGGAATACCTTACTGCCCACTTCCTCCTGTGCAGGAGGGGGATTGGAAGAACTTTCCCCAGTAGGGTTAATGCGAGTGGAGTCGGGGGCAGGGGACGCCAGTCCCAAAAAGAGTAAAGTGGCAGCTGCAAGGGGCGGAGCCAGGCCCTGGCATGTGATCCCCCAGATTAGCTGCTGCACTGTAGGGCCTGTGGGAGAAACTGGTCTGACTCAGAAAGGAGAACCAGAGCCCAGCCAGGAATGCAGGTCCCCAGGAGGCGCCATAAATAGCCAGGGCCAGGGCTCTGAGGGCCCCAGGAATAGCAGGTGGGGGCGGGGCTGTAACAGAGGCCTGGAAAGGGAGGCATCTGAGTCTGCATGGGCCTGGCAGTGGGCCCAGGGCACTCTCCCAAAGCTCAAAGTGTGTAGGAGCCAGGGGTCACGGCTTTGGGGAGGACCAGCCTGGGGCTATCTCTGGTCTTTGCTGCCCACCCTGCTCCTTTACCTTCTTCCTTTCAACCATCCTGGAGCAGCGAGCTCAGCCTGAGGCCCAGAGATGTGAGGTGATTTGGCCAGGATCACACAGTGAATGGGGTGAGACGGGATCATGAATTACTCTTTCCTCCTACTCCAGGATTATGCAAGAGAGGCAAAATGTAAGAACTCCTCCTTAGGGAGGAAGCTTTCCCTCCCGAGGAAGAATGGCATGATCGATTCATCCATCTGCCTGGGGACATCTGACTTGCTCTCAGTTGATTTGAGCACATCCCTGTAGCTAGAGTGTGAGGGAACTCCCATTTCCAACACTGACAGCGATATCAAATCAGAGGTATTTGAGTGCAGCCTTGGAAATAAGGTGAACTCAGGTTCAAAAGAACTAGACTCAAATCCCTGTCGATCTTACACAAATCACTTCACCTTCCTAAGACTCTGGTCCCTAACTTGCAAAATAAGGCCAATCATTCACAGGCAGGAGAATGCTGTGTGAATAAAAGGGATAACCCGAATGCTTGACTGCCTGATTAATGCCCCAAATGCTATTAAGACTTCGAGACCTGCTTGTTCACCTCTATTCTTGGTGTTTACCGCATGGGAACCTTCGATCAATGTTGATGAAATAATCAGAATGAAATAAACTCTTTGCATTTAAATGCCATGTTTGCATCATAATAAACATCCCTTGTTATTTATCAGTTGTTACCGCCTTTTGGTGGTACTATTACTTCTATCCTGTGCTTAATTCTTCTGGGAAAATGTTTGGAAACATAATCTCTGGACCAGAATGTCTTTAGCAATAAATCATATAATTTATTGTCCACGCTGGAACACTCCTCGTACTCATGCATGTACAACTGGGAGAGACTATGACCATCGAGGGCAAACCAAAATGCTGGCCAACCTGCTAACCACCGTGGGCTGCTCAGAACTCTCTGGAGCAAGGAACCCCTAAAATGCAGGACCAGCCCCCTCAAATGTCTTCTCCAGCCAGATCACGGCAGGGGCACCCTGCCTCCTCTCCCCCGACTCTACCCAGTTGCAGCTGTTTCCAGGCCAGCACCCCAGGGCTCTCAGAGTCCTCATTTTCAACCCACAGGTGACCCTGGCACCTCTTTCCCTTTCCCGAGCTCGTCCCAGCGAGTCTGCATCGCCCAAACACTAACATTCGCAGCCCAGCTAAACACCTATCACATGAGCTACAAAAACTTCCCAGCTGTTGTTATCTTTTCCTCTAGTTTCAAGAGGCTTCTAACTGATGCCCCTGCTTCTGCTGTTTCCCATCTTTGGTCCAATCTCAGCTGCAAAACAGAAGCTGGACTGTGTGTCTCGTCTAGACAGAGACGATGGCTTCCCATCTCACACAAAGAAAAAACCAGGTCCTCAGAAGAGCGCACAGAGCCCCACCCTCTCCAGCTCAGGCTGTCTGTTGGCCTCCTCTCCTGGGCCTCTCCAGCCACACCCATGTCCACACCAGGGAGCCCTTCATCTCGGGGCCTTTGCACCTGCTGTACCCCTGCTTGGAAAGCTTTCCCCTTAGAGGTCCCCCTGCCTCCTTCAGATGGTTTCTCAAGTGTCTCCTTCTCAAAGTCCTGTCCTGGCCACCCAATAAAAATGTCATCTCAGCTCTTGCTACTTTCTGTTCTCTTTTCCCTTAGCTTGACCAACACCAGCCAAGCAGAGCATGTACTTTACTTTTCTTATTTATCTTACAACTCTTTCAGCTCCACAAGGGCGGGGACTCTGCTTTGTTCTTTGCCACAGCCCCAGTACTTCAACCAGCCCCTGGCATTAAGCAGGTGCTCAATAAACCTTTGACAGACAGGTAAAGGTCCAACTGAGACCACAGCACGGAGGCTACAGTTTCCCTCTGGAGAGCACACGGCTCGGGTTCTAACCCCGAAGCCTCCACTTACAAGCTGTATGACCTCAGGCAAGGAGCATAACCTGTCCCGAGCCTCAGTGTCCCCATGTGTAGTGGGGGATGGCACAGACAGCCTCCTAGGGGAGTGGAAACCACTAAACTCTGTCCAGTCCATCTCAGTCTTGGAACTCAGTGGCTGTCCCAGCGGAGGCTCCAGACAAAGTGGCATCACCTCGGGACTCACACAGAGAAGTCAGGGACCCTGACTCACACAGTGCTTCTCCCCTAATCTCAGCATGGCAGCCTGTGGCCTCTGCCACAATCCCCCCTCCTCCATGGAGCTGGGAAGTAGGGCCAGAAACAGAGGGAGGAACCCAGGTTACGAGGAGGGAAGAGGGGGGGAAAAGCAGGCCAAGCCTCCCCACCTGCCAGCTTCCTGTCTTTGCTCTGATAAATAGGGGCTACTCATGGCCAGAGTTTCCATTCCCCCATCCTGGCACGGCTGTCACTCAATTTTAAGAAGATAGACGGTAAGGACCTGGGGGCGGGCCAGGAGGCCCGGTTATAAAGCCGTGGCTGGCGGAGGAGGCAGCCGGTGCCTGGCCTGCCCCTGCCGGGTCCTCTTTCCTCATCCCCAGCCAGCCAGAGCTGCTGACAGCTGCTTGGGACTCTGCCGCTAGGGCCCGGCCAGACCCACAGCCTCTCCTCGGTCTCCCGGTGACTCCCGAACCACAGCCCCTCATGGCCCAGAAGGAAGAGACCGCAGAGGGCGCAGCGGCCGCGGCGCCAGCCTCCCAGAATGGGCAGGAGGACCTGGACGACCTGGAAAACCCTGAGAAGCTGAAGGAGCTCATTGAGCTGCCGCCCTTTGAGATCGTCAAGGGGTGAGACTCGCACGCGGGCTGGGCGGGGTCCGCTCCCTGGAGAGCAGCTCGGGCAGGGGCGGTCCGGAGACACGGCGGCAAAGTTCCCTAGGCTTCTTGGGGAGACACCTTGGACTCTGATCAGGAGGTAGGAAGAGCCCTCAGAGGCCAAGGCCTGGAGAAGGAAGCCACTCTCAGGCCTCCTGGAATTGGGAGTCCCCTGCGTCTCCAGGTAGACGTTTAGTCCCAAGGAGTTTTGTGAGATGCACATTTAAAGATGGCGCCGCTCAAAAGCCTCCCACGTGCTTCAACCTCTCCCTCTGCTCCTGTCTGCTTCTGGGGCTTTCTGTAGAGCTTTTCCCTGGGGCAGAAGACCCCAAGGCAGGAGGGTAGGTTCATCCTTTCTCCAGGCTGAATGAGAAGCAGCCTTTATCTTGCTGAATCTCTTCTGCGCTTCATGAGGAACCGTCCACTTCTGTCCCGATGGAAGTAGTTGTAGCACAGAGACAGGGGTTTTACAAACAAGAACTGTTCTCACACCCTCAGCCTCTGCTTGGAGGACTGGGGGGTCCTGAGGAAGACCCCGAGGCTCTGAAGAGGGAGTGTGCACTCAGCCCCTCTGTCTTGTCCAATAAAACCAAGTTGTCTTCCTCCTCTTTCTGTCCATTCCTGTAGGAGAGACCCTGCTAAATTATTAGGGAATAAGGAAGTCTGGGGGCCCACATTTCGTCCCTCAGCCCAAGGTTCCTTCTTGGGGGTCGCCCACCATGTGCACAGGCAGAGTGGGCGCCACACTTCAGGAAGGTCCAGGAAGAACAAAGGCACAGGAGCCGCCCGGAGGCAGGGGAGCCAGGGGCCCTCTGGCCCCGCTGTTTGCTGGTGGCCAAGTGATTTCCCAGTCTTGGCTTCAGCCAAAGAAGTGACACTACTTGATTCCGAGGGTCCCTTCAGGCTAAGAGGTCACCCAATTTGATTCCTTAGGCACGAGGAGCCTGCACTTCCATCTGCCCATGCTCACCCAACAGTCTCACCCTTATCCTAGGATTAAAGGAGCAGCTGACCCCAGACTGACAGAGATGCAGGGAAAGCCGAGGGCAACCAGGCCAGGCATCCCCCCCCCCAATTCCACTGCTGTCTACGGACAGGGAGCCTTCTCTCCACCTGGGCACGCTGGGCCATACTACTTTGCGCACACGCACATGCAGGGGCACTGCCATTCCCCAGCACATGGCTAGAGCAGTTCCAGAGCAGAATCAGGCTAAGTCTGCTGGGTTGAGCATGCTTTGGGGTCCCAGGGCAGTGGGTCCCAAAGGATTAGGTCCTCTGCCATAACCGACCTCTGACCAGGGCTTCACCATCACAGCACATTTCCGAGTGAATGAGCTCATTAAACCCTCACCCCATGCTAAGAGAGAGAGATTTGTTATTTCCACTTTACGTAAGGGAAACTGAGGCTCAGGGAGATGGAGTGTAAGTCCAAGCCCGCAGAACCAGGCACTGGCAGGTCTCTCATTCATTCTGGGCCCTGGGTCTCTGGAACAGGGCTCCCAATGTACCTATCCTCAAGACATTGCGGCCCAGGGGCTTCTCAGGACCTCAGGTGCAGAGAGACATGGGTGGGGCGCCCTTCCGACTGAAGGCTCCAAGCAGCTCAGGCGGGAGCTGGAGCCCTGAGTGTGCCCCAGCCACAGTGACAGCTGTGGAGATCTGTCCCCTGGGCCCCTCCCTCCGGGTAAACAGACGCCTAAAATAGTGCAGAGATGTGGCCATCCACGCAGGGACTGCACGGGGAGGCAGCTTCCTTGCTTTGCCTCCCTCTCCATATGCCCTGGAACCCAAGGACCAGAAAATAGCTTCTTTCCCAGCCTGGACTCCCACCGAGAATGGATCCAAACTGCTCCTTAGATTTGGGATGAAAACTAGCAGAAGAACAGGTGGCTTTCCAGGGAAGCATCTGAAGTGAGCAGGGGCTCATGGTAGGGATAAGGAGAGAGATGCCCGCTTGTAGCATCTGGCTGAATGGGGCGCTCTGGATGGAAAGCAGCCCAGGCACATGAGCAAAGGAACACGGCAGAAAGTGCTGGGGAAAGGTGTGAAGTCCAGTGTGTGCATCTCGTCCTGTATGTGTCTGGCGACTTCACATGGCTGTCCTGACATCTCTAAGGCGGGAGTGTTGAGATTAGAGACATCCTCGCATGTTAGAAATCAGGAGCTTTTTCTTTCTTCCGGAGACCCGAGTGTTAAACACTTAGAAGCACACGCTGAAAGACAGGAAGTGGTAGAAGTAAAAGGAAGGGTAGAGATGGGATCGTGCTTGGTAACCCTTAAGACGGACCTGTGAAGGACGCAGAGACGGCGCCACCCATCAGAACAAGCTTTCATTTGTTGAGTGTGAGGTTGTCCATAACCCAGGAGGTTGGGTTACTCAGACCTTCAGATAAGGAAACTGAAGCCCAAAACTAAAGAGGTACGGGTGGTTTGACAAGAATTAGAAGGAGTAGGGCATGAACCCCAGGACTGTCTCACTCTAAAGCACCATGGTGCACCCAAAAACCATAAAGAGGATTCTTTTTAAGTCCACAAATACTTACTGACTAGGAACTGTTCAGTTACTGCCTGCTCCCCCCCTCATCATATTTACCCTTCAAAAGGAAGGGGACTCTGTCTTCTCTGCTGCTTTATCCCCAGCACCCAGCCCCTGTGAGGTTCTCAACAAATTCTTGGTGAATGAAGGAAAGAATGAATGGGCACCTATTGTGTGTCAGGCTCTTTGCCAGGCATCATGACAGGAAATGAACTGGAGGACGGCTTCCTGTGGAGAGAGGCTCAGGATACATGGGGGCTTGGCAGTGCTGAGCTTAGATAAGAATGCCAGCGGGTGCCCACCTCTGACTGTGAGGGGCGCTCTGAGGCACAAAAGCTGCTTGTCTGCCCCTCTCTCCGTATCTCCACCCCACCAAGGAGAGCTGTGGCCCTGCCTGGCAGCACCCGGATGTATGCTTGTCTCTGTCTTTAGCTGCATTGTTTTCGATTTTGCAGAAGGCAGACCCTGAGAGCAAAGAGATGATTATAGAACAGGGGTACATGGCAGATGGACTGCATCTCTTACAGCCACTTCTTTAGCTGCCAGGATTCTCTCAGGCCACATAAGGGACCCAGAGAGAAGGGGCAAGATCCAGACGAAAAGAGAGCGAGGAGAGCCCTTCAACACCACTTGTAAGGCCACACCTGGCCCCCAGAGCATGCTGGGAGGTGCACCATACAGAGGAGATGACAGCCAACTGCCACCCAGAGCCCAAGGCAGGGCGGGTGGGAGGTCAAAGCTTGGCATCTCCCAGGAAGGAGTTGGCTCCAGGCTTGCCCTGGGCAGAATCCAGTTCAGTCCTGCAATCTCAAGCTCCCTCCTCAGCTCTAGAACCCTCTGCTTCTCCTCTGCCTTCCTCTTCCTGACTAAGCCCACTCGCTGGCATCCATCTGAAAAGTGGTCAGAAAAAGACAGTGCCCAGTGAAACCAGCAACTCCACCTCTTTCAAGGCAGTCACTGACAGGCCTAGCAGGGTGAAGCTGAAGTAAGTCAATGTTCAATCCCTGTGCGTAGATTTTCCACTCCACGGGATGTTTTGGAGCAAATGTTTAATCTCAGACCACAGCCCTCCAGGTTACTCCTCTTCGCTGTGTAGATTTATGCTTAGGCAGTGAGAACTTTTTAAATGGGCCCCTGAGGAAAATATGTAGTACATTTCCTCACATCTCTTCTTGCCCATCAAGCGGGTCATCTTCCCAGATTTTGCTAGATTGTAGGATTCTGGGTTCCCTCTTAGAGAAGTACGATTCTTCGGTAGCCTGGCTTTAAGCTGACAGGTGTGAACAGCCTTATTTGTGATGCCTGAGGCTGTGGTAACAGAACTCGAACAAGCATCCTCACACTGTTGGTTTCTGTGCCTGAAGGAGGGACAGGAAGCTGAGACAGGGAACTGTGACCAGCATCTCCCTTCAGTCCACCACTCCAACACACACATACACACACACACACACACACACACACACACACACACACACACACACACGCTCCTTTAGCAGTGAAATGTCTGCTGAGGTTGAGAATATCAAATTATTACGAAAAAGATGTTTGCGATTGAGAAGTTAGGTCTCTCTATTTCCTTCCTTCCACTCAGTGAGTATTACAGTGTTATCTTGTGACTCCATGAAATTGCCCAAGATATTGTCCAGCTCTCTGCAGAAGTTTCCTGCCTCTACGTTTGTTCTGGCTGTGTTCATCTGTGGGTGGCCCAAAAAACCTGATTTGACCCTTTTGCTCCTTCTAAAAGATCAAGAAGCCCATTGAGAAGCCAAGCAAGCTCCGGCTTGGGACAAACCCAAAGGAAAGACCCTGCTTTGCCTTCACGCCTTGAAAGCACTTCTGAGACACTCAGACTGGCCTTGCTGAGGGACACAGGGGCTCTGGGGCCACTGGCCAGAGGAGTTGGACACGGATATTTATAGAGATGACCTTTCCTCCGCTCCCTTGGGTTTTAGGTTACCCTGGGTCCTTTCCACTTACCTAGGAAGAGGAGGAGGGGAAAATGTCAGATCTCAAGAGGGGCTGAAAGAAACAGCCTTCTCACCCCTCTGACCAACTTGTGATTGTGTGCGAGGCCACACTGATAGTTTGGGCTGGGCTGCACTTGGTGAAGTTTGAGCAATGGGGCTTCCAGACAAAAACTTGAGGGACAACACAGGGTGCTACTGCTGAAGCCTCCAACCCAACCAACCATGAATACTTCCCAGGATTCCCACTAGAGAATCCCTCCTTATCTATATAGCCCTAGATTGCAACAGGCAGGACAGGCCTGCCGGCAAAAGGCCTTGAAGAATGAAAAGGGGTTGGGCAGAAAAGGTAAGCACTGTGCTTCTCAGGAGCAAGATGTCATTAAAGGGACTGAAGGGCCTCCTGAGAGTTTGGGAGTGGTCCAGTGGAGTTAGAGTAGCTAGGAAAAGCTCCGTGTGTGTGAATTTCCTCTTTCTCCAGAGGAGAGGGGAACCCCAGGTGATCCATTCTGCTAAAATGTTAAGTAAATAATAATCACTTCCAGCCAGGGACAGAGGGGCTTAGGGAGCTAAGTATAGTATGTGAAGGAATCCTGGGGCTGGGTCCTCAAACACATCCGTCTTCGAAGTGGAAACGTCATCACTTGACAGCAAGAGACATGGCAACTTGGGTGGAGCAAGTTGGGCAGTGGAGGAGGGAATCCTGCAGGGAAATTACGCAAGCTTACTCAGCTCCGTGGCCATCTGCTGCTCATCCTTAAGCAGCCAAGACCTCAGGACACACCAGGGATTTCCCCGCAGCCCAGGGAGTCCAGTGACCTTTCTGAGAAAGAGAAGGAGTGAATAGGCAATGGGAGTTACTGTGCTACAGGGCATCTTCAGGGCAGGCACAGAGGTGATGCTTTTAGGGGGGACCTGGGTCTCATACTGCTAGGCAAGTGCTCCACCACGGAGCTACACCCCGAGCCCCTGAGACTACGCTGTTAAAAAGAAAAACATTCAGCCTCTCTAGCTGGTACTCACCCCCTCCCCTCCTATGACATTTCAATCCTGCCTATTAAACCTCCTCATTTTCTGTGGCCCACAAACCTGCATAGATCTTCCCTCTTTCTGAAAAACACGCATACTCTGAAAAACACGCATACACAGAAAAGTAAGAACAATCTTCAACTCTGTGTCCTCTCTAGACACTCTCCTTCCTTCTCTCCTATTCCTACCAAACTTTTCAAACCACCTGCACTTTTCCTGCTGCTTTCACTTCTGGACCCTGCTTCTCCTCCACAAAGCCACTGGATACCCATGCTATACACCACCAAGTCTGGTGTCCTTTTTTAATTTGAGGCTTTTCCCCAATCACACCTCACCAGTCCAGTGCTACCCCGCTGATCTTCCATGGACATTACTTTCATTGTTTTTTATTTTCCCTAGTCAAGAACTGCAAACAGTTATCACCTGCCTCTTGAATCAAGGTGAAACTTTCAAGAACCTCTGTCACATGTCCCCTACTCTACCTGTCTACTTCAGCAGTCTTCTAACGTTCTTCTTTATTTATGAATTCTTGGTCCAGCTGCTAGATGATCAGCAGCTAAGGTAGAAGCAAAAATCTTTCAAGATTCTGAGACGACTCAATACTGTACAAAGCTTAATTATCCCAAGGCACCCTTGGGGAGTCTTGTCACACAGATGCATATTCTTGGACACTAACCATGTGACAATCCTTTCACCTGAAAGAAAAGACATACTTGAAAACAGTCAACAGGACAGCACGGTTCTACAAGACACAGGCCATGCCATCCTCAAAATGCAATTTACATGGGCAACAAGGGGAAGAAATAAAAGCATAACATGTTGTGCAAAATCTTTGTCTTGCTCTGTCATGGGAAACATGAGCAATTTAGTATGCTTGCTACTTGGTAAAATTGCTCTTTGAGCACTGCTTCTCAAATATGGCCACCTGTCATAGTCCTCTAGGGAGGTTTTGCTTTTGCTTTTCAAATGCTGGTGTCTGAGACCCTTCCCCAGCCTTGGTGGTCTCATTGATCTGGTGTGGGCCTGAGGTGCTATGTTTGTTTTTTTGGTACCAGGGATCGAACTTGGGTCCTTGCGCTTGCACAACAGGTGGCAAAAACTGCTGAGCTAAATCCCCGGCCCCAAAGTGCTGATGTTTTCAAGCGTCCTCTATGTGCCTTTACCTGGCCAGATTAGAGAAACAGTGTGGGTGTGCTGCGTTGGGAGAGATGGCAGAAACAGTGTGTGGAGATCCTTCCTAGTAGGATGACCAGAGTATAAACCCCAGTCCAAATTCTCTCCCATCTCCCAGATAAACACTTTGGGGCTCTTTCCTGCCTTTTTCTCACTGACATTAGCATAGGAAAGACCTGTTTATGTAAGAGCCAGTATGTCTCGGAGATCTACCTACTCTAGGCTGGTCCGATGGAGAGGAACTCAGCATTCTCTCTTCTTCCCCGTCCCTCTGTCTCCTTGGCCTACAGGGAGCGGCTACCGGTCAACTTCTTTAAGTTTCAGTTCCGGAATGTGGAGTACAGTTCTGGGAGGAACAAGACCTTCCTCTGCTACGTGGTGGAAGTACAGTGCAAGGGAGACCAAGTGCAGGCCTCCCGGGGGTACCTAGAGGATGAGCACGCCGCTGCCCACGCAGAGGAAGCCTTCTTCAACACCATCCTGCCAGCCTTCGACCCGGCCCTGCGGTACAACGTCACCTGGTACGTGTCCTCCAGCCCCTGTGTAGCTTGTGCTGACCGCATCATCAAAACCCTGGCCAAGACCAAGAACCTGCGCCTCCTCATTCTGGTGGGGCGACTCTTCATGTGGGAGGAGCCAGAGATGCAGGCCGCGCTGAGGAAGCTCAAGGAGGCTGGCTGCAGACTGCGCATCATGAAACCCCAGGACTTCGAATACGTCTGGCAGAATTTTGTGGAGCATGAAGAGGGTGAATCCAAGGCCTTTGAGCCCTGGGAGGACATTAAGGAGAACTTCCTGTACTACGAGGAGAAGCTGGCGGACATCCTGAAGTAGGCTCCGGCCCTGGCCTCCTGTGAGTTCCCCCAGCTCCATGACACCAGCTGCTAACTTGGGTAGAGGGAGGGAGGTCAGGCAGAATGAGTGGTGTGACACTGTCTTTGGAAGGAACAAATTTCTCTGCTTTGGGTTGATTGTAAAAACATTTTAGAACATTGCTTCATTTTTCTCTTTCCTCTGAATCCCTGTCCCTAAACCCTTTTATCTCCCCTGCTACCTTTTCATTTCAAACTAACTTTCCCATAGCTTGGGATATCCAAGGTTGACAGAGATCCTAAAGCTCTGAGACAGAATGACCCTTGGTAAGATTCCGATGGCACAAGGGCTTGTTACTGAATAATAGCAGAGAAGATATTTAAAGCCCTAAGCATGCCCCTGTACTCTAGCCCAGATGTATCCAAGACACCTGCTAGGTGCGTCGCTCCCAAATCCATTAGCAATCTTAACCTCCATGTTTTCTCTACTATGGGATTTTTATCCTTCAGGGCCAATTCTTTCATCTTTGGTAATTCTCAAATCCCCAAGTGGATCTGTATTCAACTTTTGTTTTTGGCCAGACCTGCTTTCATGTTTTCAAACAAATGGTTATGCTTTGAGCAAGATCGATAATTATTGTGTGGATGCATAATGCAAGAGCATTTTCCTTACTGAAAAGAGCTCAGAACTCATGGAAAAGCAAAATGGAAGAACGAGGGTAATAGAGCAACAAGACAGTTGATACAGATTTGCGAAAGGATTAAAAAGATGTTTGCAAATTAGGTGGCAGCTCAGAAGTAGTCTCCTACAGATATCGAGAGGTGATAGAACTGGAAGTAAAGATTAGCTATTTAAGCAAATAATTAGGACACAATTAAGGCCAATTTGGCCACTTGCTGAGGGTAAATTAGACTTTCAGAGAAACAGGCCAATTATCCTCAGGAAGAAGGGTAAAGGATCCTTTCCAAGCTTTTGAATTTGGTCCCACAGAAATGCTGTGACCAAACTAAGCCTTTTATAAGGCCAGAATAACTGATCAACCCGCCCTCTTCTGTGCCTTTAATTCTGGAACAAGTCACATATTAATTAAACATGAAAGCAGCATGCCTCCATGAATATAATTCAATTTATTTTTGGTGTTCCTCATGCCTAATACCCTTAAGAGAAGATGCTGCTTCATAGACACATTGAAGAAATATCAATGTGCCAGAAGCCGAGGCTGGCAGGAGTTCCCTATTAGGGAGGCGCACAGCGAAGTTGACCATTCTCAGGCTGAGCACTGGCCAAGCCATCAAGATACGATCTATATGTAGCCACTTCTAAGAAACAGCAGGACTGGGGTTCTGACCTCAGAGGGTCTGTGGTGGGGTAATACCACGTGACATTCTGCTCACATAAAATAAGCAGTGAGCAGTAGTAAAGACAGATTTCTGAGTGACCTCTCAAAATACAAAGCTTACCTTTCAAAATGCTTTAAAGAGACCCGGGATGTAGCTCAGTGGCATCACACCTGCCTCCCAAGCACAAGGTCCTGAGTTCAATCCCCGGTACCAAAAAAAAAAATGTTTTAAAGAACTTATAAGTAGATACTATAATTATAAACCCAATATAGACTACAAAATGACAACTGGCAGGTTAATTTTAACCCTACTGTACTTGCTTCTTAAACATCTTTCATGGGCCACTTCTCCTAGCTATCTAACTAGCAAGTCCTCAAACATTTTGTTTTGTTTTGGGATTTTTTATGGATTTTCAATTAAAATTAACCATTACAGGAGGATTTAAAAGATCTTTTGGTTTTGGCTAAGTAAGGGTTGGACCTGATATTAACTGAAGGAACCAGTTTGACAGAGGTTTATTTCTAAGTCAGATTTTTAAAATATTATTGGGCCTCTCCCTTTAGTATACAACATCACTGTCTCATCTGAGCCCAGGAACAGGCCTTCGAGCCCTGAGTTGCTCTTGCCCCTGACGGGAAGGTGAAATGTACCGAATTTTAAAGGCATGAAATAGTTGTAATCTAAAAGCCACCCCCCCATAAAAAAACATGCTTAATTAAAATAACCCCAAGAAATGAGCAGTTGTTAAATAAAATGTGCCTCATATCTATTACGAATTTTTTTTCTCCCCGTACCAGGGATCGAACTCAGGACCTTGAGCTTGTGAGGAAGGCAAGGTGACACTGAGCTAAACCCCTGGCCCTACGTTATTTGTTTTTAATAACAATGTTTAACCATATATTTGAATCCAGAGACCAGAACTAATGCAGATCTCTTCTAGGACTTTTTCTGCGTGAACCAAAACAAACCGTGAATGAAAGAATCAAACCCAATCCTGGGTCAGCCGGGGACCACATAAGATTACGGAGAAATTCAGGGACCTGGTGGGGAAGGCGCCCAGAAACTTAGCTCAGAAACTAACTGGTAGCTGTGTGGGGTGAAGGCTCCCAGTAACATGCTGTCTGTGTTTTCTTTAGGTCTGCCTGCTGCCGCCAGAGGACAGCAGGGACACATATGCCACCTGGGACACACCTGTCTTCTGGACACCACTGGAGTGGGATAGCACTTGACATCAACCTATCCTACTGGACAAGGCCCTCAGCAGATAGATATATTTCTCACTGCCCAGATTCATTTAGGCTGTGCTTCTCTCCAGAGCTGCTGTCAGGAAAGAGGCGAGTGAGCAGCAAAGAGAAAAGCACCAGGCTCCTGGGGGCCTCAGGTCTTCCTGACTCCCCTGTGCAACTGCTTAGGCAGAAGCCTCAGGCCATAGGTACAGAGCTTTGAATATGTCCAGAAGTGCATTTTATGTTCAGTTGGGCTATTTTGTTGTTTTGTTTTTTAAAGAAAGAAAAACAGCAACATCAATAAAAGAAATAGCATGGTTTTTCTGTGGCCTGGTTTCTTAGGCAACTTAGGCACCAGGAAGTTACCATGGACACTGAGTCCCTGGCCCAGGGATGTCCTAGGCTGAGAACCAAACCATGGCATTATGGGAGAGTAAATTAAACCAGCTGCGTGTGGTGGGACATGTCTAATCCCGGCATTCGGGAGTCTGGGGCAGGTGGACTGCTGTGAGTTCAAGGCCAGCCTGCATTACAGTGAGACCCTGCCTCAAAAAACCAAAAAAAGAGATTAAACTAGGACTTGTCTAGACAACACAGGAACTAACTGTCCCATGCACACTTCCCACCATCCTGACCTTTACAATATATTTTCCTCTGAGTTTACTTGCAAAGGAGAGCTTATCCCTTTCTCTGAAGACAACATGGCAAAGGATGGAACTAAAAGCATAGGAAATGTTAGAACAGAGCCACATCCCAATTGCCAATTAATAAGCAATTAGCTTCTCAACTGAAGGGCAGGTGGGAAGGAGGTGCTCCATGTCTGGACACACATCGTGTAACAGTCTGATACGTGGTCCTGAACAGTCACAGCAGGAGGACACCCAAAGTCTCATTGCTTATAACATTTGCCTGCGTCCTATGTGGAAGCAAAATTTCACATGTGGATTTCTGGGTGTGTGTCAAACTCTAACTGGGTTTCCCAGAATGACATTCTCCTTTGATTATGAGGCCATGCCTTGCTCCCTCAGGCTGAAAGGGTGCCAAGGCATTGGAATTTGACCCCACGACTATCTGCAACTGACAAAGCACTTTATCACATCCCTGTAGAGTCCCAGAATTCCACTTACAGCCAATCCTGGATGAAATGAGGTTTTGTTAAAAGAATCAAGGCACATACTCATACTCCATGAAAAAATGAGAACTGTCATCTCTTTGAAGGAAGCCTAGAAAACCAATGTTTTGACCCAAGTGTTAAGATTTATTTACACGGGGGCTGGGGGTGAACTTTAAGGGTAAAAGCATTTGCCTAAAAACCACAAGGCCCTGGGTGCAGTCCCAAACATGACAAAAATACTGCATGTGTATGTGTACAGAGGTGAACACACTATTTCAATTCTGCTTATTAGCCAACGTTCATTTACAATTTTGTGCAGACATTCCCTCCCTCCTTTCTTCCCTCCAATTCCACTTTATGTAAACAGAAGCTAAGCTTCAAGAAAAGCCGCAGCCTAACAGTTTGCTGAAGAACCCGCCCTGCTCCACTCCGGCCCCCCGGGGCACCAGAACTTGTCTGCTCCAGAGACATAAAGTGAGAGGTTTGGAAACCACTGCCCTATCAGCCTGAAATGTGTTAAGAACGCCCGTCTAAAGTCCGAACATTATACTTAACCAGTGCTTTCCTGGTGTCCTCACAAGTCCCCCTTCTAAAATCTGGTTGTTCTTTTTCAGTAGGGAATGTAGCAGATGCAGCATTCACTCCAGGGAGAAAATCAGCAGCCAGTTTGGCTGTTTTAACTCTCAGCACCACAGCAAGCGAAAAAACAAAAATGCCTCATTTGTCCAGTGGCTCCCATAGTGAGAATCGCTGATTCACGGAGTCATTACTCTGCACTGAGCTGTGCCAGGCATTTAACATGTATTATTTCAAGATGAAGTCCAGTGTTCTCAATCACAGAAACGATGCAGGATTAAGAAGACTGCACCATGAGATCCAAACCCAGCCCTCCAACTAAGCCCACCCCTCATTCCTACCCATTCTCTTTTCTTACTTCTTCCCTTGCTACTCTTCCCAGTGGACCCTGCTAGGCCCTTCCAAATAAAGCTACAGGTTTATCCTCTGTCACTCCATTCCTGATCCACACAGGCATGAGCACAGAACTTCACTGAACCCCAAGATTTATTTCTCCATTTTTATCAACAAAAATTCCGTTAATGTCAGACTCAATTTTGTAATTAAAAAAAAGTAACTCATGATTCTCTTCTAGGATGAATCTGATGCATGATACCAAGGTAGTAAGCTCACAAACAAGTTCCCCAAGGAATCCAAAGTTCACCATTCCTGAAATTTCTCACAAAGCAGAGAAATGGGATCAATGCTGCCACCTAGTGGCCAGCCGTCGAATTGACTAGCACATGGCAGCAGAACGTGTCATGGGTCCCACATTCTGGGCTTCCTAACATCAGGCCACCTACTCCTGACCCTGCTGCAGAAAACACAGCGACATCCCCAAGCAATCCCTCCTCCAGAGTCCTAGCCCAAATATGAGAATACAGCAAGCCTAGCCTGCTCCACAACACTGAGGACTTCACATGAAGGTCTTCCTCTCCCATTCTCAGGTCAGCTGGCTCAGTCCTATGGCCAAGTAGGGATGATACCAGAGAACCAAGACCAAAATGTGCTTCATTTTTTCACAATGTGTACACAGTAATTTTGATGTCCGTTGCTTCAAATATTTCCTCAATTATTGCAGATACATTTTCCCACTGCAGACGATCAAGACCACATCCAATCCTAAAAAAGACAAAACATCTCCATTGGTTGCGATGAAGTTACCTAGGAAATCGCTCCTTCCCTCTTCTCTGGGGAAGAGCTACTCAAAGCCTTGAGAGAGCAACCTGGTCACACCCACTGGCAGCCATGGCGAGAGTCTGGAAGTCAACTCTTATGGTAAAGTCACCCAAGCTCATGCCTAGATAGCTCAAACATCCCACAGCTCCCTTCTCCTCACCTCATCATGTACCATTTTCAATTACTTCACGTTCCACTGAGAAACGTCTAACTGCCATGGCACAGCAACTCACCACCCTGTTCTCTCGCTACTGGAGAAAGCTGGATGTGGATGGATGGGAAAGTTCCATTTAGGATAATGGAATGTTAAGATGAAAAGGAGAAGAGGGACAAGGCACAGATCACTGCAAAAAGGAGGGCAAGACAGAAAGTGGGAAACGCTGATTTGCTTGCAATCTAGGAGTTATGGTCTCTGTCTACAATCAGAAAATTGGTTCACTGGTGATTTTTAAGTCTGGAAATGTGCCTATCTTTAATTCTAAATTTTCAGTTAAGCTGTGAAGTTGTCATTTGGTAAAACAGTAAGCCCCACTCATCAATTAAGTCTTCATTTAGGCCCCTGGATTTCCTTGCCTGGGCATGGAAAGGTCGGTGACTCCATTCTTCAAACAATGGCACTTCATGGCCTCTAAGCTCTTCTGTAAGTTCTCATAAGTTGGCTTGTGTGAAGCCCTTTTCTTTGTGATCTGAGCACAGAGAAAGGATTCAAACTCTCATTAGCCCAAAATGACAATTAAAAAAACCATCAGATTCTTCTGTAATCTGACAATTAAACGTTATTACAGAATAACTAATCTGAAAGAGGGATGACAAATGTCACACTGCTCCTTCCATACTGTTATGGGAGACCCCAGGAAAATCCACTAAACAGGGCCTGAGAAACTCAGACTCTGCCATGCCACAGCCCTTCCTTTTCCAAGGAACCCATGAGTACTTTTTAAGCAACGTAGGTAACAGTCTCTGTGCCACTTCCAAGACCAAAGCTGCATGTCTAGAACAAGGAGGAACTCACACCACCTGAAAATACCATTAAAATTCTGTCTAAGATCTCTGCTGGCTTACTTTTCATTTCTCTACAAAAGAACAGAGAGAAGCTGGTATTTTTAAAAAATAAAAACACTAAAAGTCACATCAGGGCTGGGGATTTAGCTCAGTGGTACCGTGCCTGCCTGGCAAGCACAAGGTCCTGAGTTCGGTCCCCAGTACGGGGAAAAAAAGTCACATCAGCCTTAAGGGACAGAATTCAACAGGGCTAGACATCTCCCCACTAAGTCTGCTGTCCAGATCAGGCTTGTCACGGGTTGGCACTAAGTCAACCATCACCATCACTAAGGAAGACACACCCGTCCAGGGCCAAAGCCCAGACAGATGGAGAACCCCACGTTCAACCAGCAGGCAGGCAAGGAGCAGGCGAGGCGTTACCTGGTAGTTCCTGCAGACAGCAGTGAGAAAGAGAAAACTCCCTGTGGGAAATCTGTCTTCTGAGACATTGTTTCTCTCTCACTGTGACTAGGAGAGAACGCAGAAGAGGCACCCCTAGCTTCCACATCTTAGAACACAAGTCTATGGTAGATGGCACAGTTCTCTTGCCCACAGTGCTGGGCTGTGGCTTCATGCTCCTTTCTATTCTAGGGCTGCAAGTGGCCAGCACCACTGGACCCAGGTTGTCACAAGATCAGGAGCTTTTTGATGCTAAGTGTCTAGAACTGTCTAGGAGCATGGTGATCAACACAACTGCAGCACGGCCCCTCCTGCTGACCCATCTGTAGGCTGTATTAATGATCTGGCTCCATCTTACCAAGTAATATATGTATCGCCCATCTCTCTTCAGAACAGCCACTTCTCCAGGCTTCTTTTCTATGAAGAACAGTTAGTTAGTAGTAGAAAGGAAAAAGAAATCCAAAACACTGATCCCTATGCTTCAAAATTTTTTAATCTTTATAGATTTGAGTTTATATCAGAACTAGAAATAATTTTCAACTGTAAATAAGCTTCTGTAAACTTTCTGCTCCTTATCAACCTTCCCAAATACTGTACCCCTTAACTTACAACATACTTAGAATCATGTTTTCTCACACCCCACCTTTTATCCTGCCTCTGCCTTCAAATATATTCCTTTATCCACTTAAATATTAATGTCGATTGCCTTGAAATTGTTTAGGTTGAACCATTTTTTAAACTGTCAAGTATATGTTCTTGCAGTAATGATCTCCTTACACAGAGTTGTGTTACACATTATGAGGAACATCAGAAAGTTCACTAATAATTTTAATCCAGAGAAGGGGGTCATCTTTACAAATAACCATAAAACAAAGTAATAAGAAACTGTTTTGGTTTTTTTTGCCTAAGGCTGGAATCAGAATGACTGGTAGATATTTTGGTTTAGTGAGCCTAAAATTTGGTCTGAGAAATTGTTTCAGAAGCTCCCCATGTGATTCTAATGCATTGTTACAGTATTAGTGGGAAATGATGAAGGGACCTGTTAAGAAAAAGGTTTCTAAACTTCTATTTGAAAAGTAAGAGTATCAGTAAGTAGAGTATCTTGAATGTCAAGCAAACACCTGTGGACTTTGCTAAGTACTTCAGAGTTATGAAAAGTTTCAGAGAAGTGGGATAATTTTATCAAGGAAGTTTTATGAAAGAGGAGGAAGAGATTACAAGCTTGTACAAGATTTCAGATTTGGGGTGCTAAGGGGTCAAACAGGAGCCCATTCCTGTGAGGAAAAACTTTAAAGACTTAAAGGCACTGTCATGAGGGAACCCCCCCCCTCCCGCCGCCCCCGGCACGAACACCCTAATTAAAGTATAACAGATGATCAAAAGGTGTTTTACCCAGGGCAAAACGGGTAAGCTGTTCTCAAAACTCACGTTGACTTAACAGCTCCTGCACCCCTCCAAATTTCTTCTTGAAGAGGACAGCTATCCCAGCGCCCATGCGGCAATCCTCACTGATACAGTGGGCTAGAGAGTCTGTTTTGGGGCATGCAAAAAGGTCTCCTTTCACATAAGTGATCTAAAATGTGCAAAGGGAAAGACAATGCTTTATTAGATACATTAAAGTATTAAGCTTTTTTTCTCTTAGGTTTACTCTGTGCCCTCACCACTAATTCTTTCCCACCCCTCCCGCAGCTGGAAGTCTAAGCCTCAGAATTGAAGGAGTTAATCACAGCGAATTAAAGCATTTGTAAAAGGAATGTGATGGATGGTCCCCGCCTGGGATTTTTTAGCTTTTCTTAAATAATTCAGCTTGAGAGAAACAAAAAAGACAATCCAATTATTGGTTTAATTAAAAGTGTTTACGCTTTTGACCTCAATTATTCTGAATTTTAGTTCATCGATAAGTTAAAAGTTGCTACGCACTCTGCTTCCTTCTGGATCTTCATTAAGGCTGCTGGCCATGATACTGAGTCGCTATTTTCACAATGTGTGTCTTCTGCTAGGAGAAGGAAAGTAGAAATGCTCAGGCAGCCTGAATATATTATGTGCAGACTGCCCTGACCACCCACGTAATAGGTCCTCTTTTGCCTCCAACGTTTATCGCCGGGTGTGACTTCGAACTGCCCCTAGGGTGCGATCCCAAACTGTTCTGGGCCAGAGGAAGGAACTTGGCCCGCTCTCCTTTCGCGCTTCCCAGGAACTGAAAAGCCAAGGCGGCCCGATCCGCCTCCTCGACCCAGGTCGGTGTCCTTTCCTCTCCAAGAGGCAACAGTACGTCCCCAGCGGATATGGCGCAGAATAAACACGGAGGGACTTGGCCACAGTCCCGTTCAGCCGCGAATAGAGAGTGTAGAGTAGGGGCGCTAAACGAGATGCCAACTCTCCCACCCTGCCTGGGAGGGCGGGGAGCCGGACCAGAGCCCTGAGGAGGGCGATACCCGGGTTATCCTTCACCTGCAGAGGAGTCGGCAGTTCCGAGGTCCCCGCCCCGCGAGGAAGGGCTCGGTCCGACCCTGGTAGGTGGGGAGCAGGGGACTAGCCCCGACACGGAACCAATCCCGCCGCAGCCTCGACCGCACGCACCCAAAATGGCCGCCCCCGCCCCGTAGCGGCGGAAACGAGCCCCTCTAGCTAGCTAGCCGAGCCGGCTCTCTGTGGTGCTTTCGCTGCACTTCCGGCGGCAAACTCCGTGGTATCCCGCCGCCGCCCGGGCATGCGTCTAGAGAGCCTACCACGAATTGGGAAGATCGACGCTTGCGCATTAGCTCCGGGGGTGTGTCCCCTCGTTCGCTTAGAAGGGGGTGGGCCCTTGGCGAGGGAGCGAATTAGCGCCTGCGTGGTACTACTTTCAGAGAGGTTTGAGTCGAAGGCTCAGGCGCGATTTGAAGGCGCCTGCGTAGTCTATCGGCTGGGGGTGGTGTCAAATCCGGGAAGTGGGCGAGGCTTATGAGAGGCGCCTGCGCACTGCTCCTCGGAAGAGGGGGCGGAGCGAGCCCAGCTGTGGTTAGGGGCGTGATCTCCGAGGCGCCTGCGCGGAGACGGTTGGAGGGAGGCCCGATTCCCCTTTGTTCGGGTTCGCCATTTTGCTAGGCAGCGGCAGTGGCGGCGGCGGCGGCGGCTGGAGCCTCTGATTGGGTTTCGGAGTCCGGTACTGGAGCCAATCAGCGCGGGCAGCGAACCGGGGGAGCGAGGCACGGTGAGTATGAGGAGCCAATATCCAGCGGCCCAGAGCCGGCCCCAGCGCCCCGATTGGCGGGTCTCGCTGACCACTCAGGAGAGGCCCAGGCGCCCGTCGGGCCCGGGAGCCGAGCAGGTCCTCGCCGAGCACGGCAGCGGGCGGCCGGGGCCTGGGGCCTCCAGGCGTCTGGCCTCGCGGGACGGCGCCCACGGGAGGTTTTTCGGGGCCTGGGCCCTGGCAGAGCGCTGCTGCGGGCCGGTGGCGGCCGACCCTAGGCCCAGCTTCAAGCCCCGCGCCCGAGGGTGTAGAGCTCACCGGCCCGAGCGCCCTCCACGCACGCGCGCCTCGGCCTCGGCCTTGGGTCGGGAAGGGGGCCCGCGCCCGGCCTGCGCGGCGGGGCCTGTGTTCCCCCACCCCGTCCCGGTCGGGACCGCCCCGCCTGCCCGGTGACCCCCGCCGTCATTTCCTCCTCCCGCGCCTGAGCCCGCCGAGCTCTCCTTCCTGCTCGCCCGCCCGCCCGGCCTCTGGCTCTGCGCCTCGGCCGCAGTGCATACTCCGTGCGCGCTCTCCCGGGAACCCACCGATTCGTCTCCCTTTCACTTTTGTCACTTTGCAGGGTTCGGCCTGACCCATTAGCTCAGTCCACGCGTCTCTTGCCTCCTCCCTTTTCCCCTTTCTGACCCCCTGCTAACCTTCGTTTGGAGCGTGCTTAGAAACTGGAGTATTGCGTGGCTTGTGAGGGTGAGGGGAAGTGGCCCTTGGCATCTCATTACTGAACAGTTTGCTGTGCCCCGCAGCCCCTTTGTGCCGAGGAGGGAGTGGGCTGAGAACCACCCAAGCCGAGCCCACTGTGGATGCTGGGTGGGTGTTCCGGTCCACTCCGGAGAATTCTGTGGCCCCAGCTGGCAACGGCCTGGGTCATTTTCTCCACCACAGTGGTGGAGGCCTTGCAACATGAGATTTTTTCGGATAGAATAGATGAGCATGGTTTGGAGAGAAAAGCATTCTTAGGAGCCCCAGATGGCGGTGTGTATTTGAGACAGGCGCAGTAGGTAGGGAAGTGGGCGGTGGTATTGAGAGTTTAGGCGGGAAAGCCCAATTGGTAAATACACTTGGAGGTCTTCCAAGGGATGGGGGGGGGGGGGGCAGTTTTATCTGGAGGTGCAGAGAGAGGGGATCTAGAATTAAATAGAGAGATGTAGATATATTTTTCCCTAAGGTTAAAAAAAACTGGTTTGATTTGTGGAATCAGCTTCCTAATAGTAGTTAACTTCTTGGAGAGGAAAAAAAGAGGGGTTTTTTCCTCCAAAGAGACCAAAAATGGTTTTTATTGAGATGAAGCATCTGTTGCAATCCTTGACACACCTTCAATATGTAAAGTGCCCCTTTTTCAAGGTCCTGTTTGCAGAGTTCATGTGAATGGCAGGTTTGAAAAAATGTCTGCTGTCTGCTCTTGCCACTACTGAAATGCTTTGCACTTTTTGGGAAAGGCTTTTTCTTTAAATTGTTTTCAAAATCCACTTAATTCTCACATTTTTGTAGTAATAAATGAGGTAGGGTGGGTTTGTTTCTTAAACAGGGTCTCACTATGCAGTTCCGACCGGCCTTGAACTCACTATAGCCCAGGCTGGTCTGGGACTCAAAGCAATCCTCCTGCATGCTGGGATTACAGACGTGCTCCACCATGCCCAGCTCATTGTAGTATTTTACAATTGTTATATATGGTCCCCTCGGAACCACCAAATAACTTTTGCAAAACGTCTTTGTAAAAGGCAGTCGTCCATCTCTACAGCCTACTCCTGTCTGCAGAAGAATTCTGTTGCCTGCCATTTTAAGGGACAATATCGAGATCTGTCACTTTTCTAGCCCTGAGGCCTTTGTGCTCTTCATATGCTGAAATTTTTCTGTTGTTATTTTTATGCTCTCCTTTTGGGGTACTTCACTCCCTCCACACTTCTTGTCACACTTCACACCAGTTCATGTGGCACCAGTTCCTGCTGTGGTTTATCTGTGGGTGTAATAAATCTGCCCTCCAAATTCCCGTGTACTTTCTCTTGTAGAATCCTAGTATAGGTTTTTACTTTTTTACAAAACTTAGACTCTTTGAAGTTAGAATCTTCATCAGTTTCCTGTTTTGTTTTGTTTTTTGACACAAAATCTTGCGAAGTAGTTCAGGCTGGCCTTGAGCTCACTGTGCAGCCCAGGCTGGTGATCCGAGTGCTGGGATTACAGGTATGTGCCACCACACCTGGCCATCTGTTTCCTTTTTTATTTCTACAACCTTTAGAACAGTGTGTCTGGCCTGTGCTATATCATAGTTGAAAAAACCAATTAAGAAGCTCCAACCCAGAAACTTCTGTAGGATGACGGGGAAGCTGGGCAGACCTTTGTTGCCCAGGCATATATCAAACACTGGTAAAAGAACCTACTTCATGTCTTGGGGAATAAATTTAGAGGGTCAGGTTGCTGGCTTTTAATAATAGAAAACATCAAAGCGTGTGTTAGTTATACAAGGGTATTTCATGAAACTTGTTACAGTTGTATACGTGTGGGTTATGTATGCACTGAGTTGTGCTGCAAACTATGTTAAAAAAACAGGAAGGTTCTAGTCTAGGGTGTGTGCGGTAGTGATTGTCAGATATGGTGGTTGAGTTTGGGCAGTTTTAGCATTAGACTGCGTGTTCCACATACGATGAGTTCCTGGTGGTTGGCTAACTTTCCACTTCTGCACTTTGAAATCCTAGGGCAGAGGTGCTCTGGAAGATTTTTCATGCCAGCCAGAATAAACATACACTTACTCTTTCTGTCTGAGAAAGAAATCATTAGGAACTGTGTCAAGAGCAAGAGCCAGACAGACAAAATCTGACTGACTTAACTTTGTCATACTCTTGGTCAGAGACGTCCTCCAGGAAAGACCCAGCTCTGCTCACCAAAGTGCACGGTCATAGGAACACACAGCCTCACCCAGGCCAGTGGCTTGGCCTTCACCATGAGCAGCATCATGTAGTGTCCAAGCCGAATCGCTCCCTCCTTCACATGAGAACGTTGCTGCTTCTGTTTTTACTCTTCAGAATGTAATGAACTTGTTCTTAAATTGGAGCATTTGTATTACAAGAATAAGCTAGTTGAAAAGGAAATCTGCATGATGTTATGTTTATTAGTCATTCCCCTGTGTGCTTCAAGTTACATTTTATAATTCAGTTTGATAAGATGGAAATTTCTGAAAATTAGTCAAGGAAAGATACTGTGCAGGAAGGGAACTTGGGATGGGTGAAATATGACGTCCTGAAAACATTACTGTGTCATCATCCACCTTATTTACCAGATCTGGGACCATGCAACTTCTGGCTCATCCTCAAAGTCGAAATGACTGTGAAAGGTAAATGTTTTGAATGGATTCGTGACATGGCAGCAGCCACGAGAGTGCCACAAAAGACACCAGTGCAGTGAGGCTGAAGGAATTTTACAGTGACCACCTCCCTGCCTCCCAGTTGAGTCTGCCATTTCCATCTTCACGTGCCGTCCTTGCCAGATAGATACCCATCCAGGTCTCCACCTATGTGTCCATTGTATTTTGGATGCATGTTAGTAAACTTAGGTGTTACTACACTTCTAACTAAATGCTCGGACATGAACCTGAATATTTTGCTCACTTTCTGTTGCTGTGGTGAATACTGGAAATGATCAGCTTATAAAGAGAACGGGTTTGTTTTGGCTCAGTTTTGGAGGTTTCAGTCCATGGTAGGCTCTGTTGCTTCGGGGCCCGTGATGAGGCAGCTCCTGGCAAAACCTCACCTCGTGGTTGGGAGGAAGAAACAGATCCCTCTCCCTTCTGGGGCATAGCACCGTGACCAGAGACTTCCCACAGTGCCCCACCTCTCAGATCCCAAGCTGGGCCCTTTGGGAGACTTTGCAGATCCGTACTCTAGCAGACTTTATGATTTCTTCCTTTATGACAACTCACTGACACCTTACAAGTGGTTCATCTTGCTCATCATGTGTGGCTCGGATAGTTTATGTAATTTGATCTTTCAAATTTTGTAATATATGAAAGCCTAGGCAAAAAATAAAAGGAAAGTTTATGTGCATTTATATATATATTTATACCTCCCACCCCATATTTCCAGGATGAATTCTTTGATAATTTATATATTCTTAGATTTTGAATGAAATCTTTATTCAGGGTTCGCCATTATCACTTCAGTTTATCTAACTGTATTCTTGTTTTCAAAAAGGTATCTTCAGATCTTAAAGTGTGTAACATGGGTAAATGTGAACACTAGATTCTTGGTGCTTTTTAAGGACTTAGTAATTCTGTAATGTTTGAAAATGATAAAGAGATAGATAGCATTATGATAAAATGGGGGGACTTTTAGACTAATCGTGAATATCACTGTGTCAGTATTATAATTTCCTTTTATTCCTTATTCTATTAAAATGCAAACCAGTGGGCTGGGGATTTAGCTCAGTGGTTTTGCCGCCTGCTGCACAAGCGCACAGACCTGAGTTGGATCCCCAGTACTCCCCCCCCCCAAAAAAAAAAGCAAACTGGTAATATGTTTGGTGAGCAGCAAATGTGTGATACAAATTGGAGAAAATAAGGAAACTTTATTCTGTAAAGGACATGTACAGACCTGAAAACTCATAATCCCCCCCAAAAATAATCTGAGTATTACCAGATTTATACTCTACTGTAAAAACAAATTGAAAAATAGGCCTTGTAACAAAGAGCTTTTCTGAGTATTTCCAAGGGATGAGTGTTGCTGTGGTAATACTGAAAATTAAGGTTGCAATAAGAAGTGACTAAAATGCTGGGCCGTGGTACATGAAGATCGCACTGAGTTTGAGGCCAGTCTGGACTACATAGTGAGACCCTGTCTCAAAAAAAAAGACTAAAAGCATTTTAAAAACTTGTGAATATAGTATTATGATATTACTGTGCCATGAAATCCTACTGTAGTTAAAACTGATATTGAATATAAACATTTCCTGCTCTCTTACCGTATTTTCTTGCAGATGGTAAGTACAGCAATAACTTCTCAAGGTGACATATGGCAAGGCCTTCAATGACAATCTCATTTCCATTTCTTTCCCAGCCTCGCTAATAGGCACATCTCCAGCAGGAGCTCGCTGTGCAGAGGCCTCTGACGAAGAGGCACCATGGAGCAGTACACGGCCAGCAGCAATAGCTCCACGGAGCAGATTGTCGTGCAGGCCGGACAGATCCAGCAGCAGGTATGGAAGCAGAGCAGCCTCGGAGCCCGCAGGAGTGCACTCTGCAGCAGTGGGTGTGTGACTCGGGGGAGTCACCTGAGTGAGGTCATGGCCTGCAAAATCCGAGGCGGGATCTGGTCGCTTGTGCCAGAGTGCAGTGTCAGCCCATGACCACTTCAGATCTGCCCTTCTTGGGGGCCTGGTTTAAATGTAAATTGCCCCTTTTATCTCATTGAAGGCCAAAACACTGAGTCTGTTTCTCATGTGGAAATCTGAAATTTTATTTTTGTTTTCCCAGATTCAATTTGCTAGGTTCTATTCTTGTTTGAGCTAAGTGGTGATATAGTGAGGGTTTGGCCACAGTAGACAGTATCAGCGCTCAAGAAATCTGCTATTCTTTGATTTGGCCCACCACAGCACTTACTCTGAACAGCTTGAGATCTACACTAGGATAATATTTAGACAGCCACATTTAATGATTAAGCACATTAGGAAGGAATTCCCACTGTTACTTGTTTGTTTGTTTGGGGTTTTGGGGGTGGTTTTTTTTGAGACAGGGTCTCTAATTCAGGCTGGCCTTGAACTCACTGTGTAGCCCAGGCTGGCCTTGGTCTCATAGTGATTCTCCTGCCTCAGCCTCCCAAGTGTTGGGATTACAGACGTGTGCCACCATGCCTGACCTTTGTGTTTATTCTTTGAAAATACAGAGTATGCCTTTGTATTTATACACAATTTTTCTGATGCTTTTTCCCTAAGTTTGTTTTAGTAAAACTTCACTTTTTTCCCCACCCCTTGAAGAAAAAAAGAAATCATTATATGCCTCCATTTGACCTTGGGCCAAGATTGACATCTTGGGAATGTTTCTGTCATCAAGATGGAATATAGCTAATGTAGAAAAATAGGAGGGAAGGCAAAGGAAGTATTGATGGTGTGCCGTTTGATCGAAAGATCAAAGGAAGGAGCTCCTCTTGATTAAGGGATGGACTATTTACAGTGCCTTGCCCCCTTCCCTTCAGCTGCTGGGGTGGCATGGTTCCTCACAGGGCTCCATTCAGGCACTCAGGCACCTGCCTTGGTGGGTGGGGCCCCCTCTGTTGGGACTTAACATAGGGAGGTGCAAATGAGGTTGAGTCACCCCAGAGGTTGCTTCTAAGGCAGTCCCACTGGATAGAAAGAATTCTTCGTTTGGGGACATAAAAGCAATGGTCTCGTGAAGATGATTTTGGTTCACGGTGATTCATTCACTCTTCATTTCTTGAGAATGCATTTATGCCCCCAGAAAATCTTCATCATAACTTCAAAGCTGTTATAACCTGGTAAATTTTGTTGTTATGAACTTAAATTTGAGAAAATAAAAAGAGCATTAAAACAGTTGTATAAGCAGGAGGGTAAAAAGTCCTATGTCTGAAGAGAAGGACTGCATTGTAAAGTTCTCTTTGTTGATGGTGTTATTTTGACCTTTTGGGGTTGTGGAAGTTGTTTTGAGGTTGACTCTGGGGGCAGAGGGCAAGTGTCTTCAACCTGCTGCACAGCAGCTTCTGTGTAAGGAGTCTATACTTTGAAAGTCCTGGGTAGAGGGAGGCTTATGAAAGAAAGCTTCCTGCCCCTCCCACAAGAGGTAAGATGTTCTCATGTCTCGAACTATACATTTTCTTCCTGACACATTTCAAGCTCTTCCTGTTCCTGTTCTCAGCAGCAGGGTGGTGTCACTGCTGTCCAGTTGCAGACTGAGGCCCAGGTGGCATCCGCCTCAGGCCAGCAAGTCCAGACCCTCCAGGTAGTGGTGCCCTCTCTGATTCTCCATGAGCACTGCATGGACCTGTCCTCGTGTCTGGTGCTGTTTGTGTTCTCAAGTAGGAGTGGCAGAGTCAGTCGCATGTCTCTGATGCTGCTAACTTGTCCTTAAGGCTTTTATTACAAGGTGCCAGTTTCCTAATGTTTGCTGCCAAGTCCTGTAGTGAACACTGCATCCGTTTTCTGAAAACTGTTTGGCTAGTGTGTTTTTGAGGAGTACCTGGAAGATACAGAAATGACAGGAAGAAATTCTCACAAGTGTCATTGGAATTTATTCCATGCTCAAACTCTGTAATCTGATGGCACGGTAGAATTCTATGAATTTGCATTCCAGTAGAAGAGAAAAGACACAAACTAGGCTAGACTTGACGGCAAAATAGTCACTCTATTTGGCAAGGTTTGTCTAAGCACTAAATCTCATTAACCTCTGGGTGACCAGCTTGTTTTTACTACCTTTTCTGGGGAACTGGTGACCTCTTATTACCAGCTCTTCAAAGGCTATTCCATATACCCCCTTGTTGGGCAGAGGTGGAATATTCTTTCACCTCTTAGATGCTACAGCCACTGTTGGAATTCTTACTGGTTACTTGGATGTGTTACAAAAAGAAAACAGAAAAAATCTTTGAAAGAATTCTTACCCAGTTCCGCCTCCTGCCTCGCAAGCAGAAGGTCCCAGGTTCGATCCCCGGTACCAAAAAAAAAAAAAGGAATTCTTACCCAGTGCAGTTAGGTAACATTATGTATGGCCAAGTTCAATATCTTAAATGGAGGCTATGATTTAGCTAGTTCCTATAAAAAAAACAGGAGTAGGAGCCTGAGTCTTTGCTCTGTCTAGATGACTGTGACTAAAATGACGCTATTTTTGAGAAGCTGGCACAATACAGGTGCCCTGTCTTTCCCTCCATTGAAGTGGAAGTGACTTAGGGGGTGGCCCAGGATGTACAACTGGCATCTCAGCTTAGTACTTGCGTTACTCCACCTCCTGCAGTTAACTGGCCCTGACTCTAATTGTTTCACTTCACCCTTTGAACCCCCACCACCAGCAGTGTCTGCTGATGATACACAGCCAGATCCTGACCTAAATCAGGCTAAAAGAAGCTGAACTTGTAGGTGCTCCCAATCTGTATTGGAATCTTAAGAGTTCAACAGCTTGTCTTTGTTGTTCATGCTTGCTTCATCTTATTAATATATAAAATAGTACTTGGGGTTGTCATTAACCACTTGCAGAATGGGAATGTAATGTGCTTTTAATTGTATGGCTTCTGTCTGGTGCATGTGTTCTGTGAACATGCGTATGTTGTGAACACTGGGCTTTTTGGAGTCTCAAAATCATGTACCACATGCATGTGTAGCATGTCAATGGGGGAGGAAATTAAGATGGTGGACAGCTAGAAAATACTAGAGTGTGTCTCAAAACTTGTTTTAACAACTTAGATTCTATGTAAAAGGAATGGAAATACATTATGGAAATAATGGAAATCTTTCTCTGGAGGTCTCATTGTTTTCAGAGAATTTTAAGTAGTTATTCATGCCGGAAGTCTGCTGATAAATCTGTCCTGAAACAGCATAAGTAAGCATCAGTGTAGCAAAGGGAATTTGAATGTAAGAGGAGGAGAAAGCATGAGGTTTTCGGGCTTCTTTCAATTCTGAAACGGTGGTGGTAGGTGGCCGTACAGTGTGACCTAGTCATCTACCACAGACTGAACTTTAAATTACTCAGCTGTTGTTGAATTATACTGTTATGTGCATTAAGAATGAATATTTTTTGTTATCAATAATTCCTCAAAGGTAGAATGTAAACATGAAAGTTTGGGACTTGTAGCTCTTCCATGATCATTCTTGTTCACATCTAAAGTGCCTTGGTTTCAGCCTCTAGAAAGCATTCTACTGAGTATTTTCATGGTGGGACTCAAGATGTGACAGAGCACTTTGAGTGACACGGTTTCTGGAGTGGTCCGTGTACTCACAGGAGCTTGAAAGTTGAGAATTCTGTTGGTATTCCTGACTGCTCTGCCTAATTTCACTGCTTGTCATTGCATCTGAAAAGCTAAAATAACTGCAGATACTGTGAGTTCCAGTGTGAACTATCCAGCAAAGATTGCAGAGTGGCCACTGTGAAGCAGTGAGCCGTTAAGCAGCAGACATAGCTAGATCTCAGAGTGAGGTGGTGGGGTAGGGGCATACATTTCACTTTGGCCTGGGAGGCTGTGGGAGAAAGGTCTTCTGTGATGGCCTGCAGAGAGAGCTCTTGCTACTCAGCCTCCTAGTGTCACACTAGGTGCTCTGTTTACTTCCTTCAGGTTACCTGGAATTTGCTGTAACCACCATCACCCCACCTCTCTCTGACTACTCCCTAACCCTCTTTAGAGGCCATTCTTGGGTCTCTAAAAGGCCAGTTTCTTTAACGTGTTGATTAAATGTTTGTCATGGATGTAGCCTATGTCTGGTGATAAATACCTTATATGTGTGGAGACTTCCCAAAGACTAGACATGCTCCACTGTATCTCACAAATATTCAACTTGATGTTTACTCAGAGGCATCAGAGCTACTTGAAGGAGATAATTTGAGGACTAGCAACTCACTCTCTTAGTGTTTCTCTTGCCCCCACCCCAGCAAGGCAGCAGAATAGTTCCAGTGCTTGTCTTTTGGTAAAAACTGTTTTGTGTCTTCTGTTATTTCATTGTTTTTATTTTCCTTCATTCTAGGTCCAGGGCCAACCATTAATGGTGCAAGTCAGTGGAGGCCAGTTGATCACATCGACCGGCCAGCCCATCATGGTCCAGGCCGTCCCTGGGGGACAAGGCCAAACCATCATGCAAGTACCTGTGTCTGGGACACAGAGTCTGCAGCAGGTGAGGGACACTTTTAAATGTGTAGATAGTGTGCCAGTGTAGATGTCTTAAAGGGTGAGTGGTCGTGAACCGTGGCAGTTGATTTTGGCATTGATTGCTTCCCACCCTCTATAACAGTGGTGGCGAGCCTATGGCACATGTGCCTCAGCAAACTGTTTATCATTAAAAGCTCTAAAAGGTTCTCTGTCACTGCTCTACAGTGTATGTAGTCAATTTCCTACCTTTGTGTAGTACTCTTGAGTAAGGTCTGGAATATTAGGCATGGTGTTGATTGCTGTAAAGAATATAAAAAGATGAGAATCTCGTTTAAGTAATTTGTTGGTATGACTTGTTGGAATTCCTAAGGGCTAGAGGAGAAGGGAATTTACAATCTGCTTTAGACATTTTGTGTACTCAGAAATGTTGCCTTTTTTATTTATCTCTATATAAATTAGTATTTGAGTTACCTCGCTGACTGAGAAACGGGGAAAGATAAACAAGACAAAGTACAGAAGAAATTAAAAGATATATGTAGGATGATTACATGCAACTCTCATCAAATTTTAAAATTAGAGGGATATTTATCATCAAATTAGCACAAGTTTTTAAACGTGATTATGCCGGGGATTTAGTTCAGTGGCACTGCTTCCTGCCTTGCAAGCACAAGGTCCTGAGTTCAATCCCTGGTGTCAGGAAAAAATAAAAATAAAAGTGATTATATCTGCTGCTAGAGTGGGTATAGAAATACCCATGTTTGATAATTTCAAATTGGAACATATCTCACTGAACTTTATATAAAACCTTTTGATCTGCCACTTCTACTTCTAAAATCTGTCCTAACAGGAAGCATTGCTGTGTATGTAGAAATGTATGGAGCCGTACAGCATTGTACTAACACAACAAATGTTTATTATCTGAATGTCTGTTAAGGCAGATATAGGACAGTGGTCTCAAATATCATGTCACCATTAAAAAGGATGAGCTCTTGACTTTCGCTGACCTTAAAGTATTTTCAGTGAAAAATAATTTGCAGGTGTAGGCTGTGATCTCATCTTTATAATTAATAACCGGTTCCCCATGGTTGTATGTGTCTATTAGCCAAAAAAAAAGAGATGCAGGAGAGCTCTTCACTTTTTACTACATCTGTATATTGTGTTGGTAGTTACAGCACTTACATTAGTGTCTTAGTTTCTATGAAGCAATTTAAGGTAAGTTGAAAATAAATCAACCATGGTGATACTACTGATAAAATAAACTTGTCATTTTCCCCTTGTAATTTCATGCATAATTTTTGTTCATCACTGAACTGTGCATGTGGGGTTTTCACTTTTTCAAATATAATTTATTTCCACAGTTTTCTTAGTTGCCATTTGTATTTTCTTTATAATCAGTCAGTTTGATGAATCTGAATTTCTCATTTACAAAACATATTTAAGGGCTTGTTTGGTTTTGCTTTTTTGGGTGAAGCTACTGTAAATACATTTGAGCACAATAGTTCTATTTTGCATTGAGATCTTAGGGTAATTTCTTTGGAGTGAGTGCTGCTCCAGGAAAACCGTAAGCATTTTTAATGCTATTGTCATATTTTCGCCAGGATAGAATTGTAGTCAAGATGAAAAATAGTTTGCACATTTCTTCATGTATAAATGTATGAGGCTTTAAATATATCTTCAGCGTGCCTTTTCTCCATTTCATGCTGCTATGTCATTCCTGCCCCTCTCCAACCCCGCTGTCAGGCCACCTTCTCCACTGATGGCACAGGATATTGTGGGCGCGGTGACTAGATTTTGATTCCAGTCTGCTGTCAAACAAGCTTTCCTTTCTTGGCTGCATCACATGTCTGTTAGCCATCCATAAATGCAGTTTCTGTCAGGTGATAGCTAGAGTTCATTCTAGCTCTAAAGTCTGTGATTTTTATGGCCTTATTTTTTCTCCTATAAGAGACCTTGTTATTGGTTTGTTGGTTTCTTTTTGGTTTTTTGTTTTGTTTTGTTTTGTTTGGTAGCGGGGATCAAACTTGGAACCTTGCGCTTGCGAGGCAGGTGGCAGAACCACTGAGCTAAATCCCCGGCCCAAGAGACCTTGTTATTTCCCTGCCTCCAAGTAAGACTATAACTGGGAAAAATGATTTGTATATAAAGCTGTAAGATCCTAATCTCCCCTAGAGTTCTTGAGACTTCAGTCATTTTCATGAGAGGTTGCTTCTCTCTACTGTTCTTTGAATAACCTCCCCCCACACACACACCTACTCCTGGGTATTAAATCCAGGGACTCTCTACCACTGACATACATTTTGTTTTTTAACTTGAAACAGTTTCTCTCTGAGTTATCCAGGCCGAACTGGAACTTGGAATCCTTCTGCTCAGACTCCCTAAGCGCTAAGATGACAGGTGTGTGCCATTGCATCCAGCTTGAATAGCCATTTTTTAAACAAAGACTACTTCTCAACCCTTTTTTGGGTTATATTCTCCTTTTTAGAATTCCAGTGAAGCCTATGCCCTTTTAAAAAAGGGGCAAATGGGGCCGGGGATTTAGCTCAGTGGTTCCATCGCCTGCCTTACAGCCAGGCACAAGGTCCCGAGTTCAGTCCCTGGTACCAAAAGGCGGGGACAGGTGGCAAATGTCTAGTATGTGCAAAATTTTGCATACGATTTTAGATTAAGATCCCTAGGCAAGCCCAGGTGTGGTGGCCTCGGGAGGCTGAGGCAGGAGGATTGCCACAAGTTCAAGCCCAGCCTGGACTACATAGTGAGTTCAAAACCAGCCTGACCTGCATAGCAAGACCCTGTCTCAGAAAAATGACACCCCCCCCCCAAAAAAATCCCTAGGCTGATACAGACAATGAAAACACAATAAAAACCAAAAAATAGATATGAGGATAAGGGCTGTAGACATCCATTTTTCTGAAAGTCCCCTCCTTCTAAACTACAAGTTTTGTTGGAGGAACACTCCGATCAAAATGTATCTGTTGGAACAAGGGATTCGGCTCACTGAAAAAAAAAAAAAAAAAAATCTATTGATACAATGATTGATCAAAGAACTAGTGAGAGAAGAGATGAAGGTGCTATGGGTTGGGGTACTTAGTAGCTGTATACTCTTGGATTAGGAGTATGCTTGAATATAAAATACTAGCAATTTCAAGTATGGGGCCTTCCTAAATGCTTTCTCTTTTGATCTTTAAAAAGAAATGTGTCCAGTAGTCATATGAAAACATGGTTCTGTATAACCAACAGTTAAAGAATTTTGTTAAGTTTTTTAAGTTACAAAATTTCAAAGAAATACTTCTCAAACTTCTCATGTTTTTAATGATACTCCTAATAAAGTGCTAATAGCCATTAAAATAAGAAAGAAAATGGGTTTGGATACCTCAGAACCCCTCTCTTTCCCTGTTTGCTTTCTGAGCGTTAGCTTAGGAACCACATAGGAAGTAGACAGAAGGCTGCTAGACAGTAATGACAGTACTGAGTGTTGGTGAGGGTACTGGAGACAGGAATAGGAGAAACATGATCTGACCTACTCTATAGTTACTTCTTGTCGCATAAAAAAGTGATCCTAGAAGTTAATGACTTAAAATAAAATCTCTGTGGGTCAGGAATCCTGGCAAAACTTAGCAGAGTTCTCTCACTTGGTGTCTCTCTCGAGGCCATCATCAAGGTGTCAAGACGTCAGGTAAACATCGGATTTGCAATGAATGTATTTTGAATACGTGTGTGTGTGTGTGTGTGTGTGTGCGCGCGCGTGCATATATACATATATGTAATATTTCATCTGTAAAAGATCTTCAGAGAGTATTTTTAAGTGAATATGCTTTTAAAAATAGCCATGCCACTACTGTTAATAAAGCAGACATTGATTCCCAGACTGTATTCACAATTCCCTGATCATTTTGGAAGTGGAAAAATAACTTAAGAACAGAACAGGACCCCCGTCTTATTCCCTCTTTAGAGCTTTTCTTGCTTTCTAGAGGAATTTATTTAACATCCGGGGACTGAAGGAAGGTGATGTCCGTAGGGTGCTATCCTGTGTTCTGTCCCACAGATCCAGTTGGTCCCACCTGGGCAGATTCAGATCCAGGGTGGGCAAGCTGTGCAGGTGCAGGGCCAGCAGGGCCAGACCCAGCAAATCATCATCCAGCAGCCCCAGACGGCGGTCACGGCAGGTCAGACCCAGGTAATCCTACCACTCTGTCAGCCCCATGGCACGGCTGACTGGGGAGGGTGGGGGAAGAGAGCTGTCTCTCAGAATTTTTTAGAGGCCCACACAGTCGCTTTCCCCATGGCTGTCTTTGGAATGTGTGCATTGTGTCCCTGCCTGCTCATTTCCTGCAGACCCAGCAGCAGATCGCCGTCCAGGGGCAGCAAGTGGCTCAGACTGCCGAAGGGCAGACCATTGTCTATCAGCCAGTCAACGCAGATGGCACCATTCTGCAGCAAGGTATGGGGCCCCTGAGCTGCCCAGGGACTTGCTGAGTATCTTTTCATCCCAAGCAACTGTGAGTGCTTCAGAATTTTAGTTGTAAACTCTGTGCATTTTTGGAAACAGCTCCCCTAAAAAGAGATTTTCTCTCAGTCTTCACTGATTGTTGTTCCTTGTCAATGTCCCATGACCAGCACTGTAGAATGACATTCTTACAGTGGTAGCCACAAGACTGGCCCAAGGGATTATGATGTTTTTATGGTCAAAACCATTCTAAATAAGATTGAAAGCAGGGAATTTCTTTATTGGTAAAGGGAGAAATACATTGGTAATCAAGGTGGCTGTTGCTACTCCTTGTGTTTTGTTTTCTGGGTCAAGGACATCTTAGATTCCATGACTAAAGCTTTAACTTGGGATGAAAATCTTACAGTGTGCAAGATCCAGAGAGCTCAGGCAGGATGGAGAACCAGTCCTCAAGCATTGCTGTGAACGAGCAGGGACTTGACATGCTGACTTCATTTTAACTTTTATTCCTATCATAGACTCATTGTCAATTTGGGATAAACATACATTTATAACATCTCTTTCCTGGAGCACAGTTTTCCTACGTTTGCGAGCAATGGGTACAGCTTTCATCAGACCCATAGAAACTTTCTCTGCTCCCTTAGAAAAGTATGGTTGGAGTGCCCAGGGGAGCAGTTCATCCCAAGGATGGATTTATTGCACACTGGGTCCTAGACAATTAATAGAAATTGCAAAGATTGGGGCTCCTTGAGATATATATACCAAGCCAGTGGCAGGGAGTGGCAGAGCGCTTTTTCTCCACTGTGTTTCTCTGGGGTTGGTGAGGGTGTGCCAGCTAGAAGAGGGACTAACTGTGTTCCCTTCTTTCCATTCTGTGTGCCTGTTTTATGTTTTATTTTCTTAAAGTCACAGTCCCTGTTTCAGGCATGATCACCATCCCAGCAGCCAGTCTGGCAGGAGCACAGATTGTACAGACAGGAGCCAACACCAACACGACCAGCAGTGGCCAAGGAACTGTCACCGTGACACTGCCGGTGGCAGGCAACGTGGTCAACTCAGGAGGAATGGTCATGGTAAGGAATCGGATTGCTCAACTTGCTCTTCATGTACTATAGTTTTCCATGCATCTCTGTCTTTACAAATTGCTCGAACTTCCCATCTTATGTCTCCTGTAGAACTTGGCTCTAATATTTGACTTCTTGGAATTAAAATCAGTCTTTAAGTCACTCAGAGAGATTCACTTGTACAGTAAGATTTTACTGAGCTAATTGTTAGGAGTACCTGCTGTGGGTCGTGGGTTATTCTGTGCTGGAGATGTAGGCAATGGAGAGAAGTGTGGCTGTCTAATTTCACGTTATCATAATTTAGCCAGGGATTTAGCTCAGTGATTCTGCCGCCTGCATCTCAAGCACAAGGTCCTGAGTTCAATCCCCTGTACCAAAAAAAAAAAAAAATTCAGATAATGAAAGGAAAGAAATCAGTAGCTATCAAGAGCTATTAGTGAGACCACAAAGGAACATGAAAAAACTTTGAGGAATGATGGAAATATCCTATATCTCTGTTTTAGTTGTGGTTATGTAAAAGTATATATTTATATCCAAGCAGATTGAACTTTACATGTAAAAGGATGAGATTTACCAAATGCAAATCATACAACCATAAAGCTGATTTTTTTAAAAAAAGTTAAAACAAGAAGCAAGATCTCAATTCCCACACAAATTTCAGCATATATATTTTCTGAGTTCAAATTATAGTGCCAGCGGCAGTTTGGGGACCTTAAAGCAAGTGCAAAGGACATTTCCATATCTTAAAATCCATTTAACTATGCAAATGAGGAGCTTTCTTCCATACTTCAGTTGAAAGTGATTAATGTGCAATGAAATAACAATCCAAAAGATAAATATTAAGAGAATAATATAACAGAATTCCATTCCAAGCAATGAATATGATATGCTAGTATACTTTCAATAGTATATGATGAGAATGACACTACTGTAGCTTTCCTCCAAAAAATATAATCCCAGTCTAATCACAAGAAACACATCAGACAAGACCAAATTGAGGGATAAAGCATCTGACAAGTTATCTCAAAATGATCATGGTTGCCAAAACAAAGTCTGAGAAATTATCACAAACCAGAGGACGATAAGGAGACAGAATGACTGAATGTAACATGCCACCATCATAGATAGGGCAGCAGAGCTAACCTAGTGAAACTGTAATAATATGTGAAGTATAGTCAATAGTGACATAATGATGTGGCTTTTTCTGCTGTGAAATATAGAACAGTAATGTAAGATGGTATTGATAGGAGATTCAGCAAATAGTGCTCGGATATTTTGAATATCCACTGAAAAAATATGAACTTAGACCCTTACCTCACACTAATTAGAAAAATTAACTCAAAATGTGTGATAAATTTGAATGTAAGAGGCAAAACAATAAAACTTCTAGAGGAAAACTGTTGAGAGATTAGGCAGACTTCCTAGGTACAACACTAAACACATGCTACATAAAAGAAAAAAGGATAAACTAGACATCATCAAAATTCAAAATTTTTTCACTTCAAAAAATACCTTTAAAACTGACTGTGGTGGTACACGCCTATAATACCAGCACTCTGGAACACTAAGGCAGGAGGATCACAAGTTCAAGCCCAGACTGGACAACTTCCTAAGGCTTTGTCTCAAAAATAAAAATAAATTAAATTAAATAATTTTAAAAGGGTTGAGGATGTAGCTCAGCACAAAGGCCCTGGGTTCAATCCCTAATATCATGCCAAAAAAAAAAAAAAAAGGCTAAGAAGGGAAAGACAAGGGCTGGGGATTTAGCTCAATGGTTCCGGCGCCTGCCTTGCAAG